TATACAGCTACAGAAAGAGAAACATTAGCCGTATTAATGGCTGTACACAAATTTCGAGTTTATTTCGGCAAATCGCCAGTAACAGTCTTTTCGGATCATACGGCTGTTGGTAGACTTTACTCGGGAAAAAACCTAACGCCCAGGTTAATAAGATGGGCTTTAAAACTCCAAGAATATAATATCACAATAAAATATAAACCGGGTAAGGAAAACAATGTAGCTGACGCACTTTCTCGTATAAAACTGGACGATGAAGGAAATGAACTTAAATGCGCTGTGTTGACTTCAAAAATTTTAGATTCTAGAGATACGGTTATTACTGAACTGAAAGCTGATCCTGAATTTGGAAATATCTATGCTTATTTGAAAGACCCCGAAAGCTTTGAGCATACAGATATCGATGCGATAAGAAATAGAGCAAAAAACTATGAAATAATAGATAATTTATTTTTCTATACGAAAACAACAAACGAAAATCTTGAGTATAAGCCAGTCATCCCAGCCTCGCTTCGATTAAGCATTTTGAAGGAGTTGCACGAAGAGAAAACAGCGGGCCACCTCGGGGTCAGAAAGACTATAAAAAGGGTACGCGAGGCGGTATATTTCCCGCAATTATACAAAATAGTAACGGCGTATGTCAGGTCCTGCAATCAATGTCAGTTAATAAATGATATTAATTACAGCCCGGCCGAGTACTTAAATAGCATTCGCGCTACATTTCCGAATGAAATTTTAGGCATAGATCTCCTTGGTCCCTTCCCCCAGAGCGAGTTAAATAAAAATCGTTTTCTTTTAGTAATAGTAGATCATTTTTCAAAATGGATAGAAATTGTTCCACTTAAACGCGCGTCAGCCAAAACAGTCGCAGATGCATTCTTACACAGATACATTTTAAAATACGGTGCACCGATAAAAGTCATTAACGATAACGGAAAACAATTCATTAGTCAAATATTTAAAAACATATGCAATGGACTTGGCATACGCCATATCAAAATGGTTCCGTATAGAGACCACAGGCTAACATAGCAGAAAGAGTTAATAAAAACATAGTAAAAATAATTCGCAGCTACGTGAGCACACATCACAAGCGCTGGGATGGCTACATAAATGAATTAGCTTATGCTTTAAGAATGGCACATCATGATACTATGGGGAAAACTCCAGCAGAATTATTTTTAGGCAGAAAGTTAATTACGCCTTTAGATAAATTATTCTTTGTGCAACAAAGAGAGCAGGAGTTTAAACAAAAAGATGTGCAAAAGCTAATTGATCAGGCACTTAAAACCTTGGATACGGCAAGAAATAGGCAAAAACTATATTACGATAGAAAACGCTGTGAAGCAGATTTTAAAGTTGGGGATAAAGTATTGAAGCGGAAATTTTCTTTATCAAGTGCCCCAGACAATTTTATGGCAAAGCTAGCTCCAAAGTTTGAAGGCCCCTATGTAATTCAGGAAATCAAAGGGTAGTTTGGTAGTATATATCTTAAGAACGAGAGAGGGGAAATCTGTAAAGCAAGTCCCGACCAGGTGAAAAAATACTATAATCCAAATGATTTTGAAATCCTTAAAAGTTTCTTGCAGGACTCAAGTCTAAACGAAGTAGAAGGACCAGAGACTACAATAACTATTCCACCACCCAAGAAACAGAGAACTGAAGAGAGACCTAGCACTTCTACAACCCGGACGTCGGTATCAAAAAAGAAAAAATAATTTTCAAACTCCGTTGTTTAAGAAAAACAAAAATACAGATGCACCGGGTAAAGAAACCGTGGTAAAGAGAAAACACCACCTACAAAGGATAGCAGGAGAAATTACACATCAAGGAGAACGCGCACACGGCCACAGTCAGGTGCCAGCAAGGCCGCCGTTCCGGAAACTGAAACGCCAGCAGGAGGCACAAAAATACGAGGAACAGAGGAAATTCAAGAAGGACTCCAGACCGGAGGACGTCAAGACCAGCCGTCCCAGGCAGAAACGGAAAGGCCAACAACCAGACGATTACTCCGTCAAGAGGCCAGCATGTAGAGGACGCAAAAGAAAAAGCAACGTGGACGACACTCGGAGATCAATAAGGAGAAGATTGACATCCATGAAACCTCTAACTTGGGATCAATTTTGCCAAAAACGGATGACGGAGTTTCAAGCATCGAAAACTCAAAGATAAGTTAAAACCTTCTATAATTTTTTTTCTCTTTTGTTCCGAAATGTTATGCATAAGTACGAAGTTCTATGTTTTGACGAAAGTCAATATGTCTCGGTTGAGACTTAGTTTTGTTTTACTTTATTTAGCTAAGGCAAAAGTATTATTTTCTTTAAGTGTAAAAGCTAAAAACAAGCATTTTCTGTTGGTCGAAAGACTAATTCTGTTATGTTAAAGCCAAAATTTGGCCGAAGATAAAAATAACTTCGTATTCTTGTATTAATAAGAATTTTACTTTCAGTGCCGCCAGCTTGGCGAAGAATGAGTAAAGTAAAAATTTATTTTCTCTTATTCATTTTATGGTCAATTGTAAAAAGCATATGTATTAAACTTTTGTAAATGTACGTAAATCCTTGAAGGTTATGTAAAAGTAGAATTTAGTCTAGAAGCATAAAATTGTAGATGCTAAAAGTGAATGCTTAAAAGCAATGAAGTCAAAATTTAAGTATTAAACTGTAAAGTCATGCTTTAGAGCGAAAGCCTGCATGTTTAAAGATGAATGAGGGAAAGTTAGAATGAATGTGTTTTGTAGGGTTCTCCACCTACATTTGAATTTTTAAGACTATTAAAGTAGCTCATTGAGTTGTAGAATGTCGAGTAAGGTGTGTCTATTTGGTCGTTGAATTCTAACAAATAATGGTGGTTAGGGGAAGTGTTGTAAGACTAAAACACGAATATTCCCGTTTGACACCACACACGGTGGAGAGCCAGGGTAAAGTTAAATTAATGCTTAGTTAGTTAAATTAATGCTTGAAAAATTGAATGAATGTGAAGTAAGCAATAACTAAGAAAAACGAATCGTTTAAAAAAAAATTTATTGTGTCAAGAAAGTGTAAATTATAATGTATTTAGAAAGATACTGATACTTATTCCTTCCAGATGCTGGAAGGAAAGACCAAGATTGATTGATGAAGTCCAGGAAAAGTTGCTGTAAGAAGAAAGTTATAACGAGCAACAGAATTTTAGTATACAAATGGTTACATAAGATTTTTTTGTGTAAACGAGGTTCTCGCCAGTTAGTTCAGAATTAGAGAAACTTACAACAGGTCGTTTGTAGGACCTGCTTCCAAGTTTTCCAAATTCTGGCAACGGCAAATGTAGGGTTTATATTTATTTTAACTAACATTTATTTTAAGTTTAAACTATCTTTCCTGTCAAGCCTTACTTTCCCCTGGAACTGCCAATGCCAGAAAGAATATGTAAATTTGAGTAGAAAACGCGCAAGCATTCAAATTATCAGCGGAAGTGGGAAGTATTATGATTTAAATAGAAGGAAACAAGTTCGGTGTGAGATATTCTTACTGCACGAGCGCGGAGGTAGTTAGCGAGAATTGAAGAACCCCGCGTTGCGGCCTATGTGCTTGGCGGGAAGTAGTGGTAATCGTTCCAGTGAGCTTCAAGTCTGCTGAATTAGCAGCGGTATTGTAAAACGCGGTGAGTTAGTTATTTTAGAGAGCCTCGTAGTTAGAATCTTGTCTTTACTTTCTTTTCAGGTTATTATTTTTATTTGACTGCCGAGTTGGCACCGTCTGTAAGCGTCAAGAGCACGCAATTGTAATTTATTACATTGAATAAAAAGGGACTTAAACCCTTCACAAGACTCTATCTTTTATACAGTTTCCACAGTCACCCCTTGGTTGCGTGCAAGTTGGAGGCGCGCAACGTTATACCTACATCTAAGGATGATGATCAAGTATGGAAATACACATATCTCTGCATAAATTAAACCAGTTATACTGTGTTAGCAGCCCCTAACTGTGCATTGTGTCATTCTAACAACCTTGCTGTCATCAAAAGACCAAGAATAAAAAAACTCTAAAATTTCTTATGTGAATAGGCAACTGTTTCGTCTACCATTAAAGGTCCTTGAATGCAGAAAAGTGGTTTGTCTTCTGCAATGACTTATATGTTGGCATATTTTACTTCTGCATGTCAAGCACCTGTATTCTTTATGTTGCCTGTTGGTTATGTGTTTTCATCTAATAACTTCATTCACTTCACCGCTACTCTTACTACATAGTACTAGATTATTTTACTTTGGGTAATAAACTTTGAACATTAAGGTACTGTATTGGAGATTTCTCACTTGTAATTATATAGTAGAATTCAGCTGCTCTCATCTCGATGGCACTGTTCACAATTGGCAGATGACAGATCTGACTTCCACTGATTTGTTTTGCCAGAGGGTGAGGGTGCTATAAGAATGCGGTGAGTAGCCCTGATATAAGCAAGGTCGAAGAAGGAACCAGTCAGGGCCAAATCATGTGTTTCATCCTCATAACCACGTGCAAATACAGGTAGGTCACTTGTTAGAGATTTGACCTGATAGGTCACTTGTTGTGAGAATGCTAGTATTATTATATCACATAGCCTGTACATTATTAAAATAAATCTAATTCTGTGTGCTAACCCAAGTCAAATTAAAAAGCATTCTTTACAGCAATTCACAGAAACAACTTCTACTCTGTAGTATCATATAACCTCTAATTAAAATATCAATAGAAATACATTTAGAAGTCTGAAGAAGATATATTACAAACTTTTAGCTTAAAGCTATTACTTTGAAGAATTTTTCAAAGGGAAAAGTCATTTTTTATCAGAATAATAAAAATGTATGACTATCAGAAAGTTCTAATCAGTTTATGAAAAAATGTATGATTCATGTATCCTAATTAGAATTTATGTTAATATTATCAGTGGAATTTTTTTTTTTTTTTTTTTTTTTTTTTTTTTTTTTTGGTTTTACATCTTATCATCTTATGCTGTATATGATATATATGATTTTATTTCCCTAGTTAGGTATCCTATAAGTAATATGGAAATCTGTAAAAACTTTCCACCACCAGGACCTTCTTCACGAATTGATTTACAACCCCAACTCAGTATTCACCAAAGTATGTGTAATTCTTGCTATTGTCATAATTAATTATATTTTATATGTATTTTTTTAATGTATAAATTTCCTACATTTTTTATAGATTATTCTTGTATGAATAACTGTGCTTAATAAGTCTAATATTTGTTTGCAACTTTTTTAATCACATCCAGTAAACCTTATTTCACCATGGTAATTTGCTTCTGAAAGCTGTTAGCTATGTGAAGTTTTCATGAACTAACTTTTTTTTAAATTAATTAAAATGGATTAGTCACTCATGGATCATAAATGATTTCTAAATTAAACTTTTATACAAGTACTTTGTGCAAAAACTCATAATAAATATTAGGTCATCTGGTAAATTCTGCATTTTTTTAATAATACATTCAAATGAAGCAGTTATAAACATAAGAAAATTTCATTAAATCCCATGCATGCTATTTTGTCTTCTGTCTTTTTATTATATTTTCAACAGCTGAAAAATTCCTTTTTTCAAAAGTGATTAAGTTTATTTGTAAAGAAGTTATTGAGGTGCTGTTTGACATTCTCCACAGAAGTGAACTTCAGGCCTTTCAGAGAATTTTGAAGTGACCTGAAGAGAAGAAGTGTGAGAGGTCAAGGTTTAGTGAATATGGCAGTGGTGCAAAACAGGGCTGTGGAATCAGAGTCAGGCAGATTTTTGGCTAAAAGGAGTCAGAGCTGGAGTCGCTAAAAACACGTAGACTCCAACTCTAGTTTTTGTTGGACGGTTTGAATTTGAAATGAAATTAAAGTGAATTGAAAAAAAATTAATGACAAACTGAGTTATTATTTTTATTTATTGACTATATACATTAATAAACAGTTATTTTCTATTTTATTGACTAATAAATAAATATAAGGGAGGAGGATAGATGTGATATTTGCCATTATTGATTAAAATAATTCATCAGTTACTTCATTTAGTTACAAATCTCATTGGTAAATTTAGGTATGCAGCAATAGCAGCAAGAACATTGATGCCATTCTTAGGAAGCAAGCAGGAAAAGGAGCAATTATTGATCAAGCAACGTGGTGTGGAAGTACATATTCGATCATATAGAGATTGTTAGAATTAAGAAAATTTTTAAAAGATATAGATAACCCTAATGTTTCACTAAGAGAAAGACTGTGGAATGATCTTCCAGAATTGGAAACTCTTCTTTCTGCACTATATATAGCTACAAAAAAGTTACAGTCTGAAGAATTAACAGGAGGCGAGAATGGAAGAATGTGATCTTTGTTCTTTCTGAAATGGAGGGTTTATTTTAGAAGGAATAATTTCTTCAAAGAAGAAAAGAGAAACTAGTTTGCTAGACAATGAGATCTTGCTGGGTTCATTATATGTAGATCCGAAACACCAAATTTTGTTGGATGACAAACAAATTAAAAAGCCAAAGAAAGCAGTCTATCAACTTTCACTAAGAATGAAATTATTCTCAGAAAAAGTAGAGAATTTGAATAGGACAGTCAAACTGCAGACATTGCTATTAAATCTCTATCATCCTCTTCCAGTGGTGAATTAGATTTTGAGAAATTATTTTGGATAATATTGAAAAGGCTAAGGCAAAGTGAATAAAAATAAAAAACCAAGAGCCTTTAGATATAAAAATGAAAAAATACGAACACGATTTCTACATGGCCATTGAAGAAATAGAGAACTATGATTGCTCTTGCAAGACATCTCTTTTAGAACTAATCACTGCTAATCCTCAAAGTAATCACCATCGGCATCCAGTGCCTTTTGCCAATGAGTGGCTAGCTGTGCAATGCCATCACGGTAAAACTCGGGAGTCTTGAATGCAAAGAAGTCTGTGAGGGCCTTTTTGAGGTGTGGCCCATTGTTGAAGGATTTCGCATGAAGATGGTTGTTCAAAGTATGGAAAAGGTGGTAGTTTGTTGGCACAAGATCTGGGGAATATGGTGGATGGGGTAGTGTCTCCCATCCCAGTTGCTGGATGGTGTCTTTGACCTTCGAAGCCACATATGGCCTTGCATTGTCATGGAGGAGGAGTACACCCATACGATTGACCAATGCTGCCTCTTTATGCATCAGTGCCTGATGCACATGTTCCAGCTGCTGCGAGTACAGACCTGCCGTGATGGTTTGGTCCACTGGTAGGAGCTTATAGCACACCACTTGGCAACTAGTCCTCCAGATACAGAGCATGATCTTGCGTGGGGGAAGAGAAGGTCTCACAGTATGAGGCACAGGGTCTTGTGTTGACAACCAATGTCTGGAATGCCTGGTTGGGTCATACTGGATCCACTTTTCATCGCTGGTGAGTACTCGATCAAATATGGGTGCATTGTGGTGTCGAGTAAGCAATGGCAAACAGGCAACTACACACTGTTGCTTGTTTGCATCAGACAGTGAGTGGGGGTACCTACTTGCTCAGCTTGTATGCCTTTCCTATGCAGTGCAAATGGAGGTTGATCGTTTTCATCAGATATCTGGAAGTGTGCAACAAGCTCACCACATGTTTGGCTACTGTCGTTCTCTATGGCTGCTTTCAGGGCCTCATCATTCAGCGCTTGTGGCCAACCACTGCGTGGTGCATCACTAAAAGACATATCCCCTGACCTGAACTTCTGGAACCATTGTCTAGTGGTTTGTTTGTTAACGCCATCATCCCCAAAGGCCTGGCAAACTTGCCGACTTGATTCTGCTGCTGACAGTCCCACATTAAAATCATACAGCAAACAACTTTGAACAAGCACCTTTGACACTTCCATTTCAATCAGTTGCTGTGCGAGCTATGTTTGAAGTACCCATGCAACATGCTTTTATCAGGGTTGCCATGCTACCTGGAAAACCGGAAAAAGTCTGGGAATTCAAAAATTGACCAAAAATTTCAGGGAAAAGTCAAGGAATTTAAATATTTTAGTCAAAATCTGGAAAAATCAGAGAATTTCATATGGCAAATAAGTGAGTTTTGCGCCAGCGTTGGAAACGATCACTTTCTTGGTGAATTGTGTATCGCACGAGCGTCATTAGGGCAGCTGGCATAGGGCCAATTTTTGCAGCTCCAATAAGATTGTCTTTTAGAAAGGCAAAGCAGGTTTCTAGCAACTTTGGTTTCCAGTAACCTCGAGAATCGAGAGAATCGCATTTGCATATGCAGTGCATGTTGAACTAAACAAAATGCTTATTTTCGTATAAAACAAAATCGGTTTAAATACGGTACCATGGACATTGGAAACAAAGAATATGTATTGATAAGAAGAAAAATTTCTCTGTAACAGGAGTGGCTCCATTCCAATGTAGAGGTAAATATCTGTCGCCAAAGCTCGAAGCTGGTGTCGAAGTTCGCAGGTCACATTATCAAAAGTTCATAAAATGAATATCGTTTAAAATTTCTTTAAACTTTAATGCAAAAGAAAATATTTTTTCGCACAATTAATTAATAGCTTAGTTATTTTGAGTGGGGAACTACAAAAATCCGTGTTTAAATTGTTGCGAAAAATCAAAGAAGAAACGTTTTGTCGAAGAATGTTTCTCCTTAACACATGCTCCTCAATTTCCTGTACACATCGCGGAGAGGGAAATTCTGGCTGCCAGGTTCCGTCGGCAAATCCCTTGGCGAATTTTCCCTCCGCTTTCTAGCAGCTTAATAGCATTACATCTGTGGAACTTTTCCTTCTTTACATAGACATTCTTTGGTTAGAATAACCTCCACGTATTCTATTCTAACCTCCATGTATGGTACACACGGGATTTGGTGACATTATGATGAGCAGTAAACGGGTCATTTTGGTGTAGGCAACAATTTTCAAAATCGTGCCAAGGCCTTACTGTGTACTAGGATTTTATCACAAAATCTTTTAGACCTTTTCTTTTTAATAAATGCCTTATTTGGCATTTTTGAGTAAAATAAAAAATAGTAATCAGTCATCTAGGCTAACCATGAAATATAACTATATTCGCTAAAATGTCGTTGATTATTCTAATTCAATTTTTAAGTAACTATATTTTTTTTCTTATTTGTATCATTTAATATTGCTTCTTCCCTCTAAATTTATTTATTATTAGTAAATAATGCTTTCAAATTTCAGAAAATTTTCTCTAGCGTAATCCTGAAATTAATTCTAGCAGTATGATGGCATAATATCATGAAATTTAATGCACATATTTTTTGCTTATGTATGTTGCTGAATAAATATAAAATACCTGAATTTATTTTAAAATGTCATTAAATATATTTCTTTCGTTTAGCTGCAAAATGTCTGTAAAAAAAGACATTTTTAAATTCAGATTGGGCAGATTCTAATCTCAACAACCTAACCCCTTCATTGCCAGGTTTGGCGACTACTTTTATGTTGGAGTTTACTCTTCCAGTGTCATATCAGAAATGGCAAGAACTTTTTTGGTTACCTTCTAAAAAGTGATCGTAGCCTTGAAACTGAGTTTAAGGATGTTCCATTATCTCAGTTCTGGGTAATTACAAAAAAAGAGTTCCCATCCATCAGTGAAAAAGCTATAAACATTCTTTTCCCATTTGTTGTATCATATATATATATATGTGAACAAGTTTCTCTTAAGCTCATTATCAAGAATTTAAAAGAATTTATCATTGAAAAGTCTTGATTATGAATTGCATATAGCTCTTTTACCATAGATTCTGATGCAAAAAAAAAAGTTGAGTTTCCAAAAGCAAGCCAAAGTATGTTATTGAAGTAAGAAAGTAATATGTGTATTAAATGTTGGCAAAGAATATTGTAGGTATTAATATTAATAACCAATAGGTTTTATTTTTCAGTATTATTACCATATTTATACAACTGGTAATTCTTTTGTGTAGTAATTAATATTATTGTACGTTTTTAGAAAAGCCATTTGATTATATTGTTCTTGTTTTTTGGTGTAATGTTATGTGTTGTTTCAATTTATTTATTCAATTGTTGCATTTTCTGTAATAATTTTAGGGTGCGATTTTGTGTAATTTGTGGCCTATTATTGTATCTTTAGGCACTTATTTCTAGTATAAAATTATAGATCCTGTAATTCTGAATTGATTAATGTTTAAAATATAAGCTGAGATATGGGCAAAAGCTTCTTTGGTAAGCTGTAATAGCAAGTGCCTTGGCAACATTTCTTTTTTCAATAAATCAAATTTTAAAAATTCTAGAAATATTTTTTCTTGTAGAAGGCTAGATAACTTTGTAACCACCAGGCAGCATCTGATTAAATACAAATGTGATAGCTAGTATTCAGTTCAGTTCCGAGTTTATTCAGAATGCGAGTCAAAGAGTTAGCTATGCAAATCATGAATTGTGTTTTAAAGTTTACTCTTTAAGTAATATTGGTAATCTTTGATATTTCTAGTTTTGTTAAGGAGGATTTGTTTTATCTCTGTCCGTAAATCTGTGGCAATCCTGAAACATAATTCTTGTTTGTGCTTTAGTCTTATTTATTTATTTTTTTTTATTTTTTTTATTTTTTTTATTTTTTTTTTTTTTTTTTTGCTTGCTATTGTCGCTATCTGTTAACACATGCATTCCCTTTACTCTGCAAGATGGTTTGATCATAGGTCTGCTTTGTGTGAATTAACTACTTTAACATTGTCACAAAAGTGCACCTGTACAGTAGTTTTGGATACTTCAACTGTTTTAGGGTGTGAACATCTAATAAAGCCTCAGGATTGCTAAACACTTGCCCCCAAGCAATTTTTAATGTGATATGAGGGACTATGACTCATTGGTGTTTATTGAGCTTGTGTACTTTATTAGCTGTGTATGCTGATGTGATAGATTATAGCTTTGTTGGGCTGCGGCCACAGTATGTGGGTGTGCCTAATTGGGCCTGTTGTATTGTAGTGCATGGTGCAGTTGCATGGGGTTTCCTCTTAGGTAGGCAGAAGTGAATATTTGAAGTCATTCACTTTGGCAGTCCCAAAATGTTATGCCTTACTTGTGAATCGCATGGTGCTTGCTCATATTGTCATCTACACTCATGTCCATAAATTAAGGATAATTCGGAGTCACGTGGAAATCATACTTTAAAATAAATATATCACCTGTAAAATCACTACACACATCTTCAAGAATAATACACAAATTTCAGGAAGTAACCAGATGACACCAATGGTACGTCACAATGACGAGAGTGTAAGAGAGTGATATATAAGGAATACAGGCAAAGAAGTAAAATTGTTCGCAGCCACTTTATAAGCATTTCAGTGCAATAACCGAATAGTTATGACACAAAGGACATATTTGGATGATTTTTTACGTGGTAGAATTATCGGCCGTCTGGAATGTGGGCGTACCCAACTGGGAGTATCAGATGAACTTGGAATTGCCCAGAGTGTCATCTCCAGGCTTCGGCAATGATTCCAAGATGATGGTACTGTGAGTAGACGTTACAGCACAGGTCGCCCCAGAGTTACAACGCCGAATGAGGACCGGTATTTGGCAGTTACTGACAAAAGAAACATGCGGAGCACAGCCTCAGCTCTCTTCAGCCACTGGTACGACAATATCAAGACAGACCGTGTACAGACGCTTAGGGCAGATTGGTCTATATGCTCCTAGACCTGTCAGATGTGTCCACTTACTGCAACTCACTGTCGCCTGTGGTTAGCCTGGAGTAGAGAGCATGCATTATGGATACCGCAACAGTGGGCTTGTGTGATGTTTTCCGACGAGTCCAGGTTTAGCTTGCAGTCTGATTCTCGCCGGACTTTCATATGACGAGCTCTAGGTGCCTGTTACCACCAAGAAAACATCATTGAACGACACCGTTACGGTGGTGCAGGAGTGCTCGTTTGGGGTGGAATTATTCTGGGTTCCAGAACTGACCTACATGTTCAAATTGGAACCATGACAAGCCAGATCTATCAGGATTCTGGAACAACATGTACGTTTGTTTTGGGGAGCCATGAGCGCACAATTTGTGTTTATGGATGACAACGCCCGCCCTCACCGTGCAAACATCGTAAGCGAATGCCTTCAATCGGAGGATATCACCCGTATGAACTGGCCAGCATTCTCACTGGACTTGATTCCAGTAGAGCACGTGTGGGACATGCTTGGCTGACGAGTTGCAGCCCGTCAACCTCCTCCTACATGTCTACCAGAACTTCGGAGACCATTGCTTTTTGAGTGGTGTAGTATCCCCCAAGATCAGATCGATAATTTGATACTCAGCATGCCTAGGCGTTGTATGGACTGTATTGCATCGTCTGGAGACATACAATGTATTAACAATCATACCAACCATGTAATATTGGTTTTTTGTAAATAGGGTTTTTTTTTTTTTTTTTTTTTGTAATTTTCTCCAGGGAGAAAAATTTGATAATTTTTTTAATAATATCAAACATATAGCATGTTTTTTTTTTTTTTTTTTTTTTTTTTTTTTTTTTTTTGCTTTTTACCTTTTGGTTAATAAATAACCTTTACAAATAAGTCAAATTTGTTTTGCTTCTAACTCTTCCTTTGCCTGATTTTGCATTATCCTTAATTTATCGACATGAGTGTATTAGCATAGATGAGAAAGTGCTATAGATGCATGCCATTCATGAGGATTTTATCACAGGTTTGCTGAGTTAAATATTTTAATGCTATCGCAAAAGTGCACTAGTACAGTAGTTTCAGATATTTGAATTGTTTCATGGTTCAACTGTCTGACTAGTAATCGTTGCAAATTATTTACAGCTGTTACTTTTAGTTAAATACTAAGTGGTCAGTTTCTTCATGCTTATTTTGCATGGTTGTTGAAGAGATCTCATGAATTTGTACCATGCGATGGTATTAATAATTCAGAGCGAAATATACTTTTATTTAACTGTTGCTGTGAAAACAGCCTAGCTGGTGCACTGCATATGTTGCCTTATTCTTGATGCTGACCTTGTTTCAAACATGTCTTCACTGAGATTCAAACACAACCACAGTTTGAAGACCTTACAATCATAAATGTTAGATAGATATCCTAAACATATATGACATATTTATGACTGTAGGATGGTCATTCTCAATAAGGTGTTCAGGGGGCAATGTGGTCAGCCTTTTATTTAGTTGTTAAATATTTAGTTTTAGTTTACAAATATAAACTACATTTCTTCAAATTTGGTATTTATCAACATTTTCTCTTTTTTTTTTTTTTTTTTTTTTTGTTGTTGTTGTTGTTGTTTAATTTATAAAACACATTAAAAGTAATCTGAACCTAGTAAAATGTATACAGTACGAAGTCAAGAATCCTGACATCCAATAGTCGAAATGATCTAAAATTCAAACTTCCGAACCACCAGCAACCAATTTCTTTTTTTCCCATATGCTTTACGAATGCACATTTGATATTTTTTCTTAATATAACTCCCAATTCTTAATTTCCTTTCGGCACTAAATAAAATACCTGCATCTGTAGCCATCTTTTTGCTTGGCATTAATCTGAAATTGAAACATTGTTGATTTTACACCTGCTGAAGAATTTGCATCTTTAACCCTCTGACTGCTCAATTAGTGGACCAAGATCACTTCCAAAATTGTGTATTTTTTTTTTTTTTTTTTTTTTTTTGCATATTTTAAATCTATATATATTGGAGAATTGAAAAGTGCACTTTTTCTTTCTAGAAAATATTTTTTATATAGATTTTTATCATGAGAAACTAAGTTGCCAGAAAAACCAATTTCAGATGTTATCACCAAAAAAAATTCTTTTTAAATTAAATTTCAGTCGAATTACAGTTAATTTCTATTAATTGCATAGTATAAAAAAGTGAAATGTATAAAAAAAAAAAAAAAAAAAAGCGCTGAGGGGAAAATACTTTACAAATGCAGTTTAGTATGATAGAGTTCAAAACAGGGTTCAAAGCGAACTCCAACTTCACAGTTTTTTGCACCAGATTCAATAAATCTAATTAATAATCAATAAATATAATTAATAATTCAATAATTTAATTACAAGATAATTGCTGAACATTTCCTAGCAGCCATTTCTATAAGAAAAACAGTGGCAAAAAGTGAAGTTTGAGCACTAATACCACGTGCCTTCAAATTCCGCAATTTAGTAGACAACTAACGATATCTGTTGGCCAAAACGTAAACTAAATGCCTAATACTGTATATAATAATGATTTCAATGGTTAAATGGGGAAAAACGGGATGCACTCCTCAATAAAGGAAGAAAAACATATGTCCGTGGAAATCGTGGGATGGGCAAATTTTGCTACATTTGAGTTGCCCGTGGAAATCGCAGGATGATCAGTCAGAGGGTTAATGTCAACCTGGTGAATTATTATTTATCATTTTTTGCTTTTATTACCACATGACAACTTGAGAAATGACTCCTGCAGCGATGTCTAATCATTTTATTATTATTTTTTTAAATATTAGTAACTGACTATGAAATAGCGTGGTAATCTTTTATGTTGACATTTTGTTTGGTAATGATTACCGACTTCAGCTAACTGCTTTGTAAAGTGTTCAGTGTGTTGATGAAGAGAAATTTAACAAACTTCTTTTCATATGCAAAAAATAGATTTTGTAAATGCTAATCATAGGACCAAAGATTACATTATATTAGGTCCAGTGCTAGAGCTGGTGGAGCCACACTGTGTGGCAGAATTTAGGAAACGCAAAATTTTTAGAATTTTGAGAAGCACAGAGCAAAATCTTTAGAATTTAGAGAAGGTGCTGTAAGATAAAATTTTTAGAATTTTAGGGTGGTGCTTACCTGCAGAATTTAGGACCTGCAGAGAAAGGCAAAAATGTCAGTGAAGTTGGCTGCGAAAGTGTCTGGTGCCAGACTTAGGGAATTTATTTATTGAATTATATCATTATATCATTAGGATTATATCATTAGGATATGGGAATTTATTTATTTGAGACTCAGATAAGCTTTAAGCATTTTGCAGGAAATAGGTGTAAGTAGTGTAATAGTTAATTAAACTAGTATAATTTATTCTTAACTTCATCAGCATGTGGTAATTTAGCAGACCAACATGTCTTTAGTTGGCATTCTCATGATACATCGTCAATAGTGTATAGTGGATGCTAGCTAAGCTTTATGATGATAGGTTGAAATTTGAAAATTTTCAGATATTGCAAACAAAAAGCAAAATTCAATTAATGGAATTAGTAAAAAAATGTAGAGAAGTAGTAATAAATGAAGATGATATAACAGAAGTTTTCCATTGCCATTCTGGTGCCCCAATCATCAGTCAACTAATGGATGATGAAATCTGTAGTATGGCTCTAAATCCAGAAAATATCACTGCTGATTGTGAATACAGTAACTGAGCGGTTGTTGAGAATGAAAAAAATTTCAAAATTTTTCAATAAATGGGATTTGTGAAAAAATGTAGAGAAATAATAAATGAATGTGATATAACAGAAGTTTTTCATTGCCATGACAGTGCCCCAGTCATCAGTCAACTAATGGATGGCAAAATCTGTAGTAGTGCTTGCTCTAAATCCAGAAAATATCACTGCTGATAGTGAACAAAGTAACTGAGCGGTTGTTGAGAATGAAAAAAATTTGATTGAAAATGTAAGGGGAATTCTGGACACTGCAATTGTAGGACTTGAACAGTGGACATTTGTAAATGAACAAGGAATTGTCTATCTATAGAATTAAAGAGGAAGTATTACCAGAAAAAACAAAGCAATTGAAACAACTTGTATTAAAAGAAACGTTTATTAAAGCAAACAAATAAATAATGAGCCTTTTTTTTAAATTTTGATTCCTTTAAGGTCATAAATGCTTCATTATTTCAAAAAGCACTATTTCATATTTTTAATTTTATAGTTTCTACATGTTATCTTACTAAACTTAAACTGCTGATCCATATCCAGAAAAATCCCAAGTCCAGAATCGCTGAAGTACTGATAAGTCCAGATCTCAGACTTTGTACTGTATGCGTATTTTTCAAGTTTGGGTAAGGAGATAAGAGGGAATCATCCTTTAGCGATGGCGAAAAGAGTACATCAGACAAGAAAGGTTGAGAACCTCTGTAGGTAGGGTATTATTTGATATATCTATTCAAAAGTCTTCTCAAGAAATTCAGGGTATCAAAGATTTGATCCATCTGGAATATTATTGGTCAAGTTTGTGATGAAAGTTAGGTAGATAGCCTTGTATGCTTTGCCTAAATTAAACAACCTAATCTAATCCAGTAGTCAAAACTTCTCATTAGCAGCCAGATTAAAAGTGATAATCAGAGTCAGCAAATACTTCAGAAATTTTCAAAGCATGAAGCATATTATGCATATTTGTTTTGATTCTTTAAAAGATGAAAGGAATAAGTTATAAAGAATTGTCACATTGTTCCATACATGCTTTTGTTCTATAAGTGATAGTACATCCCAGAATTGGAAGATCCATAGTTTGAATTCTAGAGAGAGCATAGTTGATTTTTTTATGTCTCCTGCTCCAAAAAACCCTAATGTCTTTATAGTGATACCTAAACTAAAGTGTAGTGGATGATAATTTGTCATCATCTGAATTTGATCAGCTGGGTCCCGTGTGCTTCTTCTCAGTTGTGTTTTAAGTGGGAAGAGTATGAAAAATATAAAACATTCCAAGTTCTATCTAAACATACTTATGTAATATAAGTGGTAGCATGTCCATTTTACAGTTGTAAAATCCATTAATATGAATCTTTGGCATGGACATAACTGATTTTCATTTCTTGCTCTGAAAAATGTAATGCCTCTTCAAGTGATTTTTTCGTTAGTTGATTTTTGTATTGTTAGTATCAATAAATATCCTATAAATTAATGGTGACAAATATTATTCTTATTTAGGGAAAATCTGTTACCTCAACTTAGTGATAAAGTGTCAAACACAAGTTCAGTATACATTGCGGGCCATTCTGGTGAAAATCAGAAGCCTGCTTCCTTATATCCTGGAGATGCAACTTTTCCTAAATATGACAAGCAACCCTCTAATAGAGAAGATCTTAAATCCTCTAGAAGAGAAGAGAAACAAAATTCCAACACTGCTGAAGCAAAATATGATTCCAATAAAAATTGTCATCAAGAAAAATCAAGACCGTATAGACCTAAAGATAGTATGAAAGTAAGTAGTTATAAATCAAATGACAAATCCAGTTTTGTATCCCGTCATAAGCTGGACATAGACGGAAAGTGCAGTGGAAGTGAGAGTTCATCTCATCATTTGAGGTCTGACAAAGAGAGAGAACATCATATCTCATGGACTTCTTACAGAGACAAACAATCACACCGCTCAGGAAGATCTAGATCTCGAGAAAAACAGAGAAGTAGTAGTTCTGAGAGGCATGACAGAAAGCATACTGTTTACCACTTAAAAAGCAGAAGTCAAGAAAGGAATTCCGTAAGTCGAGAAAGAATTTCCGGAAGTTGCGATAGAACTTCAAGAAGTCGAGAAAGAATTTCCAGAAGTTGTAATAGAACTTCAAGAAGTCGAGAAATATTTTCTAGAAATTGTGAGAGAGCCTCAAGAAGTCGAGAAAAAGTATCCAGAAATTATGATAGAACTTCAAGAAGTCCAGAAAGAACTTCCAAAACTGCCAAAAATTTAGATAGAACTTCAAGAAGTCAAGAAAGAATTTCCAGAAATTTTGATAGAATTTCCAGAAGTCGCAGTAGAGCTTCCAGAAGCCATGACAGAACTTCAAGAAGCCGAGAAAGAATTTGCAGAAATCATGATAGAACTTCCAGAAGTCAGGAAACAATTTCCAAAAGTCGTGAAAGGCATTCCAGAAGTCAAGAAAGGGTGAAAAGAGAAAGCAAATCTGAAAGACGTAGCAGCAAAGAGAAGGAAAAGTATGTATATCATATGAAGTGCTTCCTTTTTGTTTAAATTGATAAAATCTGTGTAATGTTGTCTTTTATGCATGTTCAGTTTACAAGCTTCTACGTAAATAATGTGGTTTAAACAGGCTGTGAATTTTAACCAGATGTTTAAAAATCAGTGATTTTATTCAATGGATTTTTTTAAAAAATCAGATTCTTTTCAATTTTTTAAATGATGGGAAAGAAATATGTTGAAAATTGAAGACTGAGATAATCCGCAATGACTCTGAAATGCAAAAAAATAGAAGCTTTTTTAAAAAAGTAAAATTGTTTAAAATATTTTAAGCAAATCATGCTAATACAGTCCAAGAAAACATATCACTTCTGTGTCTGTCTAATCTCAGAAATAATTCTGATGATGAAAGCACTGATTCAAAATACATGGTGCATGATCGAAGTAAAATGCAAAAACACCATCTCCTGAAAAATCTAAAATAGATCATCAAGCAGTTTTAAATTTTTTTTTTTTTTTTTTTTTTTTTTTTTTTTTGTGATACAAATGCATCATTTCATAGTGTAAAACATTCTCATTTCATAAAATTAATAGAGATGCTTCATCTTGGAAATGAGCCCCCATCTAAAAAAGTGACTTAAGTGTTAAATTATTAAGTGAAGAAAGATAAACAATTTATTAATCAAACAGTATGTAATGATGTTTGACAATTCGTAATCTACAATCAATCAATGAACGTTTATATAACTGGCATATATATAATATATGAACTGGATTAGTTTGATAAAAAAATTTAAATAAAGCAAGGTCCCTTACTATATTGTGAAACCAAGATCTGCTTGCAAAAACTATGAAAAATTGAGCTTAAACAAATTTGTTTGAATAGAAAGGAATAAAAAAAACCATTGAAAAATGGCTAAAAATCCGGAAAAAGTAATTTTTTTGTATTTATGGATCCAAGTTTTGTAAATACATATTAAAGTGTTTATTTAAGCCATAAAATGTTTTTGAAATTACAAGTATGTCTGAATCAAATTTAATGGAACTGGTTTAAATATACCATCTGAAGTTACTAAAGTTTGGAAACAACTAAAAAGATCCTGATAAAGCATACATAAATTATTTAAAATACAATATTAACAAGCAACCTCGTCAGCACACTTTTTGGTATATTTTTTATCATTAAAATATAAACTGAAGCCTTATCATTAAGTGAAAAGAAACAATTGGAACTAGTAAAAGAAAAATATGCTGACTCTGTTTTGTTCAGTATTACATTAAAATTTATAATTGGTGCTCTACCTTTCTGTAGAATCTTATTTGAAAATGAGGTAGTCAGTGACCGTATGTGAGTGATGGAAATCAATAGCTCTTACAAAGGATTGCTTAGGAGAAAAAAGGTTGAATGTTATTAGAATGTTAAGCATAATAAGAACTTCATCTACATACAGGGATTGAAAGAATGTTTTCTACTTTTGGAATTATGCACAGCAAGTAGAGAAAGAACGGCAAGTAGAATGGTTGAAAAAGCAATAAAACTTATTAAAAAATTGAATTCAAATTAAATAAACTCGTCAAAAGTGAAATTGCAATGCCATAAAGGAATGCACGTAGCCACGTGAAAATAACATGATCGATAGATATCAGAGACGTATGCAAATGATTAAATTCACGTGTGCATCTGGTCACACGATACCCAGTGTTTTGCAATAAGGGCCAGTAGCGGCTTGCTGTGTATATGCTATTAGTAACAGATTGTTTCAATGGAACTACTGAAGAAAGTTACAACATGTCATGGGGACATCAGCGAGTTGAATACCAGTAGTTTTCATCTGAGAAACAGGAACGTATCCTAGGAACTGTATAAGCTCTATTTGCACACCAGTTGTTGATGCCTGCCGATTGACAGTGGTGTTGAGCGGGACATAAGTGCAATTCAACAAGGTATGGCACTATGGACAAAGACCATCATAGAACTTGGTAAAGAGGCATGAGAGGCATGTACCATCCAGGTGCATGTCAGATTACACTGATAGGCAAATTCGATAAATGTTTGGTGGGGACTCCTTCATAGCAAGTCATATTTAAACCTACCTCCTATTATCAGAAGAAGTATTTGTCTCCTGCCAAACCATCCATAATAGGTTGCATGAGGCAAGGATGTACATATGGCGGTCAGCCACTGGAATTCCTTTAACCACTGACAGAGGGCTGTCCATCTTGCTTGGTGTTGACGTTATCATCAGTAGAGGAACAATTAGCATCAGTTATTGTTTTCAGGCTAACTCGATTTTGTTTATGGAGGAATGTCTGTCGTGGACATGTGTAGTGGCTTCCCGCAGGTTTCCTGCCAGCCCAAATCGTCAATTGTCACACTGGCCCCACACTGGGCTTCATGGTTTGGGGTGCCATCATGTTTGGACAACGAACAACCCTTGTGCACATTACTGATAGTTGAACATCAAGCCAGTACATAACACAAATTGTTTTGCCTGTGGCTGGCCAATTGTGCAGGCTGCCTTCAGCATGTTATTCCAGCAAAACAGTGCCCGGTTTCATGTCACACGTCACACTCTGAACAGCCTCAGTGGAACTGACATCTTTCCCTGGCCAACAGCCTCACCCGATCTCTCTCCCATCGAGCATATATGGGCTGCCATAGGATGTGCAGTGCTCAGGACACTTCAGACACATACTGTAGAGGAACTGAGAGCTGCAGTGGATTCAGCTTTACAAGGAATATATCAGGAGACAAATTAATAGCCTCATAGACAACATGCCTCGTCGTTTAGAGGCCTGTATGGCCACATTGGGTATTGAATAAACAGTTTAATTTTTTATATCTTTTTTTGAATCTTTAATGATCTGCATATGTGTCTTATCTCTACTGATCTTGTTATTTTCACATCGCTACGCAAATTCCTTCATGTTGCAGCAATTTCTCTTTTGACAAGTTAGATTCAATGCAGTAAATTGTTTTGAAAAAGCTATGTGGATTTCAGATGCAAGTGATATTCCTATGGTTATGTTTTATAATTGTTTATTTGTATTTATATAAAAGAAACAACAGCAAGTTTTTTTGTTTATTTATTAGTAGTATATATGCATATTAAGTTTATACTTAAGTGATAAAAGTGACTAATGTTAAAAAGCTGCCAAGATATTTTGCTGTGTTTTAGGCTTCTAATTAATAAAGTTACATACAATTCATATTATCTCTAATTATTATTATTATTTCATTTACATGTAAAATATGTATTTTGTTTCTATCATATAACTAGAAGTTTAATAACTATGAAAACCTTCAGTGGTAATCATTTAATAAATTAGAAAAAGTCACAAAATTCTTATTTAATAATAATAAAAAAAAAAAAAAGATTTGCTTATTTATTTATATTTTTTTACTAAATGGCTTATACTGTAATTTTAGTCTGAGAAACATACTTTGTTTCTAAGAAAGAAATTTAACTAAGGAGTTAAAATTTTGTTACTGCTGAAATTTTGAATCAAATATTTAGAAGCATTTTAATGTATTATTAGCATGTATATATATATAAATATTATAAGCTGTATATATTATAAGATACAAATTCTTCTTAGTTTAGAACCTGGGATTCTGTAGAGTATAGAGTTTTGCAGATTTTCTAGTCATAAATTATCATTAGTCATGAATTTCCTTAAATTTTGATTGGGGGGGGGGAAGGAGGAATAAATAAATTCAATAAAACACATAAAAGCAAGTACCTCTTTTTTAAACATTTTTACAGAGAAATATACATTAAATATATTATAATTTTATATAAAAAATAGGAATGAAAAGCATTTAAAAGTTATTTGTTACATTTTTCAAACTTCTGTTTTACAGTAGTTTGAGTCCTATTGTGAGTTTCGGTCATAATTAAAGTTAAAAACTCCAGCTACTGCAATCATATCTGATTAAAACAACATAAATCTGAACTTAAGTGAGGTATAAATTTAGCAGCTTTTGGCAACAGTTATAAGAATGATAAGCTATAGAGTATAGTTCCTTGCTTGAATTTTGAATGAGAAAACCTATAGATAATAATTTTTAAATATCACTGAAGCTATTAACATATCCTTAACTGAACCACAGTTTTAACAGAGAGTTATTGATACTTACGTTATTACCCATCAACCGTGAAAGTTGGCTACCACTGAACCATGAAAATTGGCAGAGGTATCTCCAAAGTTGTGCCAGTCATTCCTGCAGAATTTTGAAGAAACTGATGCCTATATTAAATAAACAATAAGTATTTGCCCTGCATTATTTTCATTCTTCATAAAAAGGCTTTCCTCTGTTTCTACTATTTTGTTAGACCCTGTAACTTTACTGGAAACTCTGTGTGAAAAGCTAAGAGTACAAATTTCCCTCAGGTAGTTATCTAATCTATTACTATTTTATTAGCCATATTTGGCTGACCATATCTTTTCCATCAATACACACTTTTTTTGATAGTAGTATTCAATAACTTTGAACATAATTCATTGCTTGTTGCTCGCAGGTCCTAAATTGGAATTATTTTTTACAAACAGTAAGAAAAAAATACAGCAGTGACAGTTAATTTATGTCATTGTTCATAAAAACAAAATGTGGGTTACTGAGAAATAATTAAAGTTATATCAAACAAAAGTGCAGATGTTATGGGTGTGTTGTTACATCACTTTTATCCATAATCTGAGGTAAAGCTCACTGCTTGGTGAGAGTTTCATGGTCGATGGAATAATACATAAATATCGAGTCATTAATGTTTTCATTTTAATTCTTTTTTCTCTTTTCTTTCACTTCCATGCGATTTTTTCCTTGCTTTCTAATTAATAAGCAGCAGAAAATACCTTCCATTATCAACACTGCCCTTTATCATGATGTCATTTGTTATGTATTTCCATTTTTAATTCAAAACTTTATCAGTTTTGCTGTTTTATTAATTGCAAATTTTACTACTGACATGTAAGCGAGACTGTGGATGTTAGGCCAGCGAATTTTCAGTCCTTTAATGCATTTCAAAAATTACATATTTACACCATATTTTTTCCTTGTATAATTTATTATACAGTACAAAGTCTTTAATCCGGACTCGTCGGGACTTCGGCGGTTCCGGATTAGGGGTTTTTCTGGATTATGGATCATCAATTTAAATCTGGTAAGATGGCATGCAAAAATTATAAAATTAAAAATAAGAAACCGTAATTTATGAAATAAAGAGCAATTATGATCTAAAGGGTATCAAAATTTACAAAAAAAGAAAAAGCTTAGTATTTATTTAATAACATTTATTTGTTTACTTTATTAAACATTTCTTTCAATGTAAGTTGCTTCGTTTTATGTTCTAATACTTTCTCTTTAATTCTATAAACAGACATAATCTCTTGTTCAGTTACAAAGTTCCGCTGTTCAAGTCCTGTAATTGCTGTGCCGAGAATACCGACTAACTTGTCAATCGAAATTTTTTCATTTTCACTAACTGCTCTGTCACTTTCTTCATGCTTTTATCCATTTTTTGCAGCAATTCCACTTTTTGTTTGATGGACATCGAAACATGCTTTTGCTTTGTAGATCCTTTGGCAGCTTCAGAATCAGAAACTCTTTTTTGACATAATCGAAAGTTCAAGCGTACTTTTTATAAAATTGCTCTAACAGTCTGCAAAAAATAATAAGCCGGATCCAATTAGAAGATTAAGGAACAACGCAATCTGCAACATTAACTGAAATAAATAATTAGATAATTTTAGCCTAGCTTATACTGTGCGTTATACATTAAATGCGCATGTGTAAATGTATTATGCACGTGCGTTTACGCAAACGCATGCACAGAAAGTTTGTAGCTTTGAGGTCCGGATTATGGACGTCCGGATTAAAGACTTTGTACTGTAGTAGTTGAAGACCAGAAATCCACACAGCTTGGGACCAGAGGTTGTGCAAAATGTAGAGTTTACAAAAGAAAAATCATTTAACTTGAGCTGAGAGGATATTATAAATAAAAACAAGAGTAAACTAAAAAATTTAAGGAAAACACATCAAAGCAAGTAATTTCTTTTCAGCACTTGAGTAAAATAAAAAGTGTGTACAAATAAAAAAAAAGATAAAAGCATACGGCATTTTAAGCTATCATAGGTTAAGGATTTCACCCCATAAAGCTATGCACAGTCATCACTTTTTGATCTTTCGTGATACTCAGCTTTATTTTAGAATGTTTCTAACATCATTTTTATGATTGGAATGTACTTGTATTGGCTTTATAATACTGTTGGTGGTGTTAAACACTGAACACTACTTTTTTTTTTTTTTTTTGTAGGGTAGGGTTTTTTTTTCATTCAAATCGTAACATTTGGTACATTCTTTTGTCATGGCATATTTCCTTGATGAAACTTTGGTTTGGCTTCTTCTCTGGCGATCATTATCTTTATAGACATTAGTTGTGTTTTTCATCTAATAATAGATTTCTTTTAAAAATTATTTTAAATACTGCAATGGATTTCTCTATTTGGGGTTTCAGAGTAGATCATTCTTATCATTTCTTTAATCTGGGCAATAGATGTCATATCCACTCCATTGAGTATGTGTAGAATAGTGCAGAGTGGTGCAATAGATGAAAAAGAGGGACTGCCAGTTAACATTTAAATTCTGATTTAATTGAATTAAGTGAACTGTTGCCAAGTAGCACAGAGCACTAGTTAGAGATAGGCAGCTTATAGCAATATACTCATAACATATGTTTTTTTGTTTGATGTAACGCCAACTAATTTTTGGTAAGCCACCTTTTGTTTTTATGAGCATGGCTATTAATGAACTACTTTTGCTGCATTATCTTGCTTATAAGAAAGAAAAAAAAAAAGAGAGAGAGAAGGAGAGAGGGAGCGAGAAAGATTAAAATTTGAGACTTGTTTTCAAAGTTATGAAATCGTATATAAAAGAATGTCTGTATTATTGAACACAGTAAGCTACTTTATTTGAAAACAGATTGACAATGATGAAGAATCATAAAAAAATGTATCTAGAGAATATCTATTCAAAAAGGATGTGAATGCAGACTGATTTACAGCTGGTTGAGAAAATTAACATCTATTAAATGCAGAAATGAACAGATGGATATTTCAACAAAACAGTAATAAAATAGAACAAATACTTGCAGAAAATTTGTAGCATTCCTTAGAATGTAGAGTTCTTAGAATTTGTACTTGTAGAATTCTTATGAGTGGAGCTTCTGGTGAAATTGGAGGGTCAGACAAAATGATAAAAATTGACAAAAGCCTTAATACAAAAGAAGAGAGTCAAATACCGATTGTTTATTAAATAAAAAGCATCTCTTCCTTAAATCTGCAGGAACGATTAGTGGGATTCCTGAAAACTTCTATGGTTCAATGGTAGCTCATTTTCATAGCTGTTGGAAAAATATACATACCTTTATTTTTTAGTGCAGTGGTCATTACTTGCTGTTATTTTTTATTTTAGTTTTGCATATTTAGTTATTTAATGTGCATTAATCATAACTATCTCCCCCCCCCCTGTATTTTTTTTTATTTCAAAAGAGGGTTTCAGAGATGAATCCAACAGAAATAAAAGGGAGGGAATTACGAACAAAAATTTAGTAGGAGGAAAAAAAACTTGAAGAGAGGAGGTTTGGAATAAAAACATGTAGTATCAAATTGAAGTTGTGAGGAAAGTAATATTTTTTTTTTTTCCTATTTCTTTCACTATTTCTTTTGCATATAGTAACAGCTTTTTGCATTAGCATTGATTGGATCCTAAATGCAGAAAATTAACAACTGCCACATTGTATTTCATTAATAAGCAATATAGTCTATGATCAGTATGCTTTTAAAGAAGAATGGTGAAATCATTTAGTGTTTTAAATTCTGTGCAAGTACATTTTGCTCATGATGATGATATAAAACTACAAAACAATAAGCTACTGTCTCGGATAAAAGCTTGGCCATAAATTATGGCACACATTTGGGAACAGAAATTTTTATTCTAACATTTGGTAGTTTTATGGTTTTACTAATTGCGAATTTTATTATTTATTGTAATATTCTTATTGTTACATTTAATGCATTATTGAAATCCAATATTCATAGTGCTGAAGAAGAATTAAAAATACTGGAGGAATTGTTATTCTCAAAGAAGAACAAGAACTCTAAGGCAGTTTAAGCTCTTGTTTCAGAGTCATGTAACTAAAAGCATGTGTGAATAATAAAACATATTTATAGATGTAATTTAATGATTTTTACATTTATTTTCTCTCTCTTTATTATATAGAATTAATATTAAAAAGGAGAAAAGGGACCGATCTCGAAGTCCACATCGAGTTAAAAGTGAAATACCTGAGGATCGACCATCTCTGAGTACAAAAGCTAGCAAATTTATATGCTCTTCCTCAGCTGAATTTTTTTATACAAAAGTAGAGGAGGTAAATTAACATTTGAGCTTCACTGTTTATTAGTATTAATATTTTAAAATTATTTAAATTATTATAATTTTTTATTGATGATTTACTATGGTATTTTCAGCAGGATGCCACTTATTGTCAAGTGTAAATGTTGGCATGAAAGCATATGAAATTGCTAAGAGAGATATTGAATGCTCGGCCAAAATACTATATTTACTAGAAATTTGAATTTGATAATAAATGTATCCAAAAACATGTTTTAAGTCACAAATTTGAAATTTGGTGAATAAGTGTAAATATAAAATTATGCATGTTTAAGTACACTCCTCAAAAGTGAAATTGCAACACCAAGAAAGAATACTCGTAGTGTCATGCAAGTTGCAGGATCAAAAGTTGTGAGATGGATATGCAAATGATTAAAAAAAAAAAAAAAAGAGATAAATAAAATTATTATAAACCAATTTATTCACCATCTAATGGACCTCGGGCAGTGATACAGGCCGCAATCCGGCGAGGCATGCTATCAATGAGTTCATTGATGGTTGCCTGAGGCAGCCTTTGCCAAGCCACATCCACTGATGCACGCAGATAATCCAGGTTTCCAGCCGTGGTCCTCGGTTAATGTCACATCCAATGACATCCCACAAGTGTTCGATGGAATTCAGATCTGGAAAGGCTGCAGACCAGGGTGGGATGTCAGATCCGGTCATGCTGTTACGAGTACGCCATGCGACATGCGGCTTGGCATTCTCTTGCTGGAATACCATGTTGCGTATGCCCTGCAACTAGGGCAGAACAACAGGCTCCACAACTTGCGTGACGTAGCGGTCCGCTCTCAAAGTGCCGCTAATGTGTAACAGGAGTGTCTTGTGATCAAACATTATGCCACCCCAAACCATAATGCCCGATGCAGAACCGGTGTGATGCTCGGCAAAACAGCCTGTTTCGTAGCATTTTTCAGGTTCTTGTCATTCCTCCACAGACAGAAACGAGATTCATCCGTGAGTGAAACCTGATGCCATTCGATGGTCCACTCACTATGACGGTGACATCACACCAGGCATCTAGTCTTTTGTTCAGCAGTCAGTGGTATCCCTGTGGCTAGTGCCCGTGAACGTAAGTGTACTTCATGCAGTCTATTGCGTATAGTTTGGGTGGACACAGATCCACCTGCTCCAGGAGGCAATTGGCTTCAGATGTCATGTGACGTAGAGGAAAGGTGTCCAATAGTTAACTGCTAAATACGCCGGTCTGTGTGCTCTGACGTGCACCTGTGCGCACCACTTCTTCTTCGACGAGCACATACACCTTCTTGGAATCCATCATGTGACAGAACATTGGATGGTATTCATGTTGTGAACAACACGAGTGGCTATTGTGCGCAGCGACAAACCAAGTTCATGGAGTTCGATAATATGGTCACATTCCCTGATCGTTAACTGATTCAACTGATGGTATTGAGCTGATTGAGCTCTCCGAATGTCTCAGTGACATTTTCTATGCTTCTTCTAAAGTCTCTAATGTTCCATAAATCCTCAGATGCTGTTCATGAAAAGTGAAAGTGGCTGACCTTTATAGCCGTAATATGCATACCACATGAGCCAATGCCTGCACAACTTTTACCATTTATATACCCACCTCACAACTCTCGTTCTTGCAATTTGCATTATGCTATGTGCATTCTTTTTTGGTGATGCAATTTCACTTTTGAGGAGTGTATTTGTAATTAGGTACATAGGTCAGGTTAAGTTTTTTAAAATAGGGTTAAAGAATGCAAGGGCTACCTGCCTAAAGGGAGAGATGTCTTTGTGGAGAACTTTCAAAGGAAAACTGACTTATTAAACTGTATTAAAAATAATGTATGTAATTTTCATTTAATATATATTTATACATATTTCTTATGTAAAAAATCGGATATATCCTAAATCAGAATTGCCAAGTCTTTAATGAAAATGAGAATAAATAAATTATTTATAAATAATCATCAAGTAAACGTTCATTTGGGAATTTAAGTTAAAAAATAATTGTTGCATTTCATTGAAGATTGTAACAAAGTGGGTAAACCACATTTGACATTATTATTGCGTATAATGGTAAAATTTTTATAGGTTATAATTCAGTTTCTTTTCTCTGGAAGAAGAAATGTCTAAAAATTATTTAAAAAATACAAAGAAAAAAAATTTATTGGCACCACATAACTTCCTTGTATAGCGTATTAAATTATACTTATAATTTGCTCTACTAAACTTATTCCCTGGAATTACTCTAACTTAATTAACTAATCTCTCAAAGCAAGTTGAAAATGACTTCGAAAATTTTTGTAAATTTTGGAATTAATATCCTGGTCAATTTTTGTTGTACGTGGGTCAAACTCTAATTTTATTTTTTCATAATGAGTATAAAACTTTCTGAAGTATAGGAACCTGGATACTGTACTAAAAGTTAGATTGCATTATTATTTGTCAAAAATTAAATTATTTTAAAAATCGGCGTTGCAAAAACATAAATATTTTTGTAATTTAAAACACTTTAGAAATTGAAAGTATGTTACTATGACCAATGATTGTGAAAATAAAGCCTGGGTAAAGGAATGGGTGTGTGTATATATAAATATATATATATATATGCAATATTTTGTATGCGTAATTGTGATAGCAGTGTAGCAAGATGGGACAAAGATGTTGATACCAAACGAGGTTCAGCTAATTACCATCTTTATTTCTAGGTACATTAGAGTAATTCTTCATAGACAATATATTTTTTTTTATCATAAATAATTACAATAATTTCTTATATACACAGATTAACAGGGCCATATCATTTTAGACAGACAAGCAAAGCAGCATGGATCTTGGCATGGCAGAAGCTAGGAAGAAGAATGACACAGTTCATTTGCGAGTGGTTTTTATACTAAGTACATGCAGAAAGTTCTTTAAGCTATGATTGTTTAATTTGAGGTTTTTAAACAACATATAATGATCTTGAATTTGGGAGAACAGATGAAATTAGGGGGAGAGAACCAAATCTAGAATCATTAATTTTGAGGTCTCCAATTATTTTTAAAGCAGCTATCATATTTTGTTATATCTTACATATTATATATATATATATATATACACACACACACATGTTTGGTTTCGCTGATTGCAGTAAAAAAGGAAGGGCACTAGCTATTATACCAGTCCCATATGCAAAATTTCGCTGTTGAATTATGCCAATTACATGCCTACATATGCAGATGTCATGAAAAAAAAATCCATTTTGAATCCATTTTACAATATGTTTTGGAATAAACTGTCATTTATTCTGTCTGTATGTACAGATGTTATCAGGGTTGCCACACTACCTGGATAACCGGGAAAAGTCAGGGAATTTCAATCCCTCCATTTGCTGTTAAAAAAGGGATTTTTACGGCAATCTTGGAAGCGATAACTTTCTATCATGTATTGCATGAGCATCATTTGGGCAGCTGGTGTAAAGCCAATTTTTACAGTTCCAATCAGCGCACGAGACTGTGCATCGGAAATTCTGAAGATATTGCTCATTTAAAAATTATTTTGTGATATTGCTGTTGAATTTGAATTTTATGGTGCAAAGAACATGATATTTAATAAATAAAGGTAACACACAAAATATTTTTTAAAAAATGCCTCTTTGGGCATAATATAAAATCTGAAAGACCTTCAGGTTTTCATTTTTTTGTTGTTTTTATAATTAAGATTATTTTTTCATTTCATTAAATCACTAATTTTTAGTTAATATATTTTTAAGTTGCAATTTTTTTGGTCCCTTTTGAAGGAAGTTGTTGCAACAACAGCATTAAAAGAGTTACATGAGAAATTTAAGTATGAATTAGTTGATCGTGCAGAAAGAGTTAGAGCATCCAAACCTAAATATCAGCCACCTCAAAGAAGAACAAAGCTGCGGAAACCTAAGCCTTTGAGTGAGTGTGTTTATTTTTTATGAAGCTTATTAAAATGTATGTATGATTGTTCTTTTATCCCAATTTTGTTTCAGTTATTGTGCAGTTTATATCAATTTTAGAGATATATTATTGCAAGCTCCCAGGTACTTTTATAGATCTTTTACCGAAATATAATACCCCCAAAATGTTTTGTGATTGTGATACTTCCTGTACTTTGTACAAAAAAGTAAAAAGGGGAAAAATGTTTAAAAAATAAAACAATGCTTGATCTAAATTTATAATAAATTTTACCTATTTAAATACTTTTATTTTTGTTTCAAAGCATTTACTAAGTTAGTGACTTTTGATTTGTCACTAATATTGGCAGTTGCCACCATAAAAATCATTTTTAACAATTAATACTTACTGGCAGTTAACGTTGAAGTATCAAAAAATATTATTTACCTTGATTGTGATAACAATTGAACAGATATTGATGAATATTTTAAGGATAATTTACCACAAAGAATTTCATTTTTGACTGTATTTAAAAAATACTATGTTTGTATTCAGTAATTACATGAATATGTAACTTTTAGATTAAAAAAAAAGAATTAAAAATTTTACATGTATTAAGGGTGGAGGGAACCTGCAAATTCCTTTTTTTTTTTTTTAACTTACTGTTATTTAATAATTTTCTGCAATAATATGAAAAAAAATCTGATGTTGTTATTATTATTCCTTTATTCTGTCTTTGTCTTCTGTTCTTAACTATAGTATTATAGATGCCAAAATATTTCTTAGCATCCACACTATTATTGAGACTGAAGACTTTGAATAGCTGCCTTTGCAAAGTTTGTATGACAGAATGTTGTTGCTTTAAGAATCTGTACATAATTAACCATGACTGTCTTGACTGATGACTGTAAAAAGTTATTTACGAAAATGACCATTATTCATCAATGAGCTTGTCTTTTGGAATGCCTGTAAAAAATTGTATTTTAGAGAACATTCCCTGCAATAAGTTTGACTTCAAAGCTGATGTAGAAGAGTCATTTATTTAAATTCTATTTTGTTAATGTCATCAATATTATTTTTCTTATCAACTTTTTTAAAAATTTATTTATTAATTTTTTTAAAAGATATATTTTTTGTCTAATCTCTTAAATAATGATTACTTTGGCACTCAAGACTAAAATCTTTTTATTTCCCTCAAGATGATGCAGTTTGATTCTTTAAAATTCGAAATCAGCTTAGTAAGTTTCAGACAGAATTCAGATCCAATTTTATGAGATAGAATTTCACTTTCAAAACATTCCTTTAGGAAAACAATGCTCAAGTTGTCATCTTCCTCATATTCACTGAGTGATGCAAAACCATGCTTCATATATTTGCTGAAATAAATGACAGCTTCAAATGAAGAATTCCATCTGTTTATAACAGGCGTAGGATAACATTTTTATGTCAGCTAAACTTTCCTTTCTTTAAGTACCTTAAGTACATACTTTGCACTTTTTTTAGTGCAAAAAAGTTGTTTTGTTTTAGCTACAGTGGCATATTATTCGTTGGATTTGTTTATAAATATGTTTCTAACAAATGCCACTTCATGTGCCTAACATTAGTAATGAACAATATTGTCTCTAACAAGTATTTTCATTAACTTGAAGTAGACGTTTACATAGCATGCAGATTCTAATGATTGTCTTTTACTTCAGAGTATTTGTTCCATATTTCTTCATGTTAACTATCGCTTGAGACTAAGTAGTGAAATCAGTATAAGAAATTTTCTCTCTCTCTCACACATACACACATAACATACACACACACACACAAAAAAAAAAAAAAAAAAAAAAAAAAAAAAAAAAAACCCACCGAATGATCTGTTCCTAAATTAATAGTTAAAAAAAAAAAAAAAAAAATAAAAAAAAAAAAAAAAAAAAAAAAAAAACAAAAAAAAAAAAAAAAAAAAAAAACTAAAACAAGACTTCAAATACATGCTTCCTTCTTCATCAGAATTTCATAGACTACAACAACTGCTGACTTATCAGTTATTCTTTTGTTGTCCCCCTTTTTTTAATGTGTACAGAATGATGCATATTTACATCTCAAAGTATCTCCTGCAGAAAGATTAATTGATTTAATAATTTAATTTTCCTCTAATAGATTTTTAAATGTACTTTATCCTCAACAAATTATTCTTTTCCTGTATTTTAGCATATTTTTCATTTGAAAAATACTGATTCTTCTAACCTGCCACTTAATTCTGTATAAGCCTGGTTTAGGTGCATTTTTCTTCTTTAAGTGTTTAACACAAGTATGTTATATTAGAGTATCATTTTTCTGGCTTTCTAAATGACAGTATGATGTTTACACTTAATAATGTATGTGTCATCACTAAATTCAAGTATGCGTTTAAAAAATAAATAAAAAAAAATCTTGTGCTTATCCAACAGTTTGTGACATGTTGAATTGGCTAAGTGAGATGATTGGAATGGGATGAATAAGCACATATGGCAGGGAAGTGGGTGGTAGGTATGCAGAAGAGATTCCAAAGAACATAGGGTGAGTCCCTGAATTTCAGGCACCACTCAAGTTAAACAAATTACTTTGAAATGTTTTAAATTTTTTCCAGTTTTCATTAGAAATGATAGTACAGAATAATTTGCATTTAATCAATAATATTGGTGAATTTCCTATTTATTTGCATCTATCTCATTAATACAAAAATTATATATCTGTAAGTATTTAGTTTTCAATTGCATTCAAAATCGCGGATGATTGAAAATTAAAAAACGTTAAATTGCAGAATGTGTGTGTAAAATAATCTATATGTTTTTTTTTTTTGCTTTCAGTTTTGTGATTTTTGATTGTCTTAAATACTAGTTGAACAATGTGTTAACTGAAGGGGAATATAGTCATTAATTATTTTCTTTACTTTGCTAGTTTATCTTTTAGTTTGTGGCATTATAGCACTTTCATATCATTTGCTTTAAATATATATTCTGTTTACTTAATATTTAAATATATTATATAAAATCTAAAATTGCTGTCCATAGAATTTCATGTTTTTAAGACATTTCATGGTAATCTGTTGTATAGAAGTAAATTCAGATGACGAAAGTTCAAGCAGCAGTGAAGAATCTTCAGATGAAGAAGAAGATACTGCAATAGAGGAACTGGAAAAGAAAAGAAGGCATCCCGATAGACTGCATTTGGAATTGTGGTTTAATGATCCAAAAGAGGTAACTTTGAATGGATTAGATTTTATTCAGATTGTTATGCATCGTCCTGCTGTTTATGTCGATATCTTTAAAAATGTTACCACCTTTAGAAAAGTTACCTTTATAGAAATGTATCATAAAACAAAGATCCTTTCCTATTATTTCACTATTTTTTAGTGAGATTGCAAGCTATTTTAATATTGTCTGTTATTTAGTTGTAAAATTTAATATGCAAATAATTGAAATAAACTTACTAAAAATTTAAAGATAAAAACTTCACAAACTTTTCTTTTGCAGATGAATGATGGGCCCTTATGTAGATGCAGCGCCAAAGCCAGACGGTCTGGAATTCGTCACGGCATTTACGTAGGAGAAGGTCATTTGCCACCATGTAATCCTCTGAGCAACAATATGAAAAAATTGTATCATTATCGAATCACAATGACACCTCATACAAATTTTTTGGTATGCAAAGCTCAAAATGCTTTACTGCTGTTTAATAATTAAATTTCAAAATCTATCTGTTTCTAAAAAGATTTAATATACTTTTTAAAAACTATTCAGTGCACTTTATATTATTATAATTTCAGAAGTCAGAGGAATAAGTTTATCATATATTCTAGCATTTACCATATATTTTAAGTTTACCATAAACTTCATAAATTTACCATATATTTCACTGGCATTTTTAATTTAAAAAAATGAAATCAAAATTTAGGGTTGCGTGCCAAATGCCAGATATAAAAATGATAGATTTAAAAATAAGAAAAAGATTAGCATACAAAAATTAGATTTCTGCAGGCACCTAAATGCTGTTTATATATATATATATATATATATAAATTCTTTATGAGTTTAAAATTTTTTCATTATCTGATAACATGAAAATTTCATTATATTCATCTTCCATTATATATTCAGGTACATCATTGAATTTTGTGTCATCTTCATCATCACTGTTACTCTGATGATGTTTCAGATTTGCTTTTATCACATGGTTTTATTATCCATATTTCTAGATTGGTATGATGCATTTAGCCTCCTTTTGTAAATGTTTTTTCACCTTCTGACATCCGCATATTCTGCTATCATTTTATATCATATCATTTTAAATTGCCTTTGAATGATTTATTGATACATACTTCTAAAGGCTTAAGTAATGGCATTAATCTGCCAGGAATAACTGTTCATATTTGAATTGCACTCTTTCAACAATTTCTTCATATTATCCATTAGATGCAATCTAAACATATCCCAACTAAAAGACTTTCTAGATTCTTTAAGGCAACTGGACAGTTTTGCAGACATGTCTTATCCTTAATTTCACACTGTTTTCATCTATCCAGCCATGATTTCTTGTAAACTTGAATGAAAACACCATTTAGGAAATTACATTTTGGCATTGTCTTTGTTTTGAAAAGTAACGGTGGGTTTAATTTTATACTGTCCGCTAAGTAGCAAAGCACTACAGTGAGGTGAGAGTTTTCGGGATCTGTTGTTTTATGTAAACCGTTTTTATTCCTTTCACATCAATTTTTATTTTTTGTCATAACAAACATTACTAGAGTGTCATCCATATTTCTAATTTGTGACAGTAAATAATTTTTTGCCTTTGTAGGTCAGTAAGACACTTCTGGAAACTTATCAATTTGTTGTCCAAATCTTTTGGAAGCCTTTGCAAAACTCGTGTTTTTTTTTCCTACAGAACTAAATTATTCCATACCATAAATCAAATACACCAACTCAAAGTTTTTTTAAAGTTTTCACTTTCATTTGCATTCTTTAAGGCAAATAAACAGACACTGTTTCATGCTACAATCAATCCATTCTGCTAATTTTCTAGGACCCAGTTTGCTAAACTTTCTTCTAGGATAGAGCATTTCATTACTTCTTTACACAAAACACATTTATTCTTTGGCATTTTAATTATTGTGATTTCATTTTTCTTCAACACATGTATGAAACTTTCTTCAGCACTAAACATCCTTGCTGCAGCATGATTTCCATTTTCTTTTTCAAACTGAATGACTTTGCATTTGAAACCAGCAATGTGTTTCGACTGTGTGTACGAAAGCCTGGTAAAAGTCTTCGAATGAATGACTTCAAAAGCTAAGAGCATTGCACCTGTATCTTTCAGGTTGCTTCATAAAAAAGAGGCACACATTATATGCCATATATGTCTAACAATTAAAAAATGTAGTTTGAAATTATAATAACGTATTATATGCTAGAATATACGTTTATTTTTATAAAATATGAATTTGTGTTTAAGTATCACCATATATGACAGTGTTTTTCAGATAGAGTTTCTCATAACATTTATATCTTGGAAGAATCATCCTGAACATTTTGCAAGAAATATGATGAATACACTTTTACTCAAATGCAACCTAATTAGCACATACGTGGATGTTTGAGCTTTTCATTTTTACTGACTGATGGCAGCACATGTGTGTAATTTTGAAAAAAATCACAGCTACAATTGCTGAAAAGTGCTACAAATATTGAAATGCTATTACAAGTATTAAAAAAAAATCATGCTGTTGAAGAATCTTTGAAAACATGTTTAAAAGGGAAAATTTAGATACTTAAGATTAGAGCTTTTGTTTAAGGGTTTTTTTAACCCTTTTCTTGTTTTATTTTTGAATTAAAAATGAGAATTGCCCTGAATTTTGCTAATATTGTAAGCTTCAACTTGTTCACCAACACGTATTTGTTACCAGCACTTTATACAACTTAATCCTTTCCCTGCAAATGAACTGATATACAGCCATTAACATGCCAGAAAGGAGTCAGCATGGATCTCCCTGCAGAATTATTTTGAATTCTTTTCAGCGCAACATTGAAGGTCCACATGTGCGGGACCTCTAGAGTAAAAAAATGTGAAATTTAAAGGAATGAATCATCTAGCATACCATCAGAATTAATGGCAATAGATTTTCTTTTATTAAGACCTTTCAAAGAGACATTTGCAAATCAGTTAATTCCAAAGGACAGTGAGGTAAGGAGAACAGTGTAAAGCTGGTTCAAGATTACATCAAAAACACTTTTCTAGAGACTTCTCTGAGCTCATTGTTAAGTAAATTAAGTATGTTATGAAGCAAGAGGATTACATTACAAATTAAGTGCAAATAATTTTTGTGAACTTTTTGAAAAAAAAAAAAAAGGTATGAAATTTCTGTTATTTAGTGATCTTTCGAGTATATATTTTTATTTTGTGTATATATGTTTACAGATATGGCATTAATTTCGTTGAAAAAGCATGCTAATATAAAATGTAAAATCAGAGGGGAAAAGGTAGCATTAAATTGATGTATATTTTCAATAAAACTGAAAAAATTTTGAAGTGGTCAGACATCGACCTCTTTTCTTCAGAGGAAATAAAATTGTTTTTGAAAGTTTATGTTATTTTATATATTTTGTTTAATCTAAAGGTAAGTGATATTCCTCTAGCTCAGTTGTATTCAAACTTTATGGCAGTGCCCCATAAAAATGCAAATTATCCCCCAAAACCATTTTGTGATCCCAATTTCAAAGATCCAACCTGTACTTATATACCATCAATTCAGAATATTTCGGTCTTTTAGCCACCTTTCACCCATTTGGGGTCATAACCCATAGTTTGAGTATTACTACTGTATCTTATGCTATATCCATGCAAATGATAATAATGGTTTTAAAAATATGTAAGGTATCCATATGACATTCTTATGAATTTGTTTATTTGATTTAGTGGCAAAATGCTTATCATTCTTATATATTAGATTTTGTAAAGTGCAAACAGCAATAGGTATAAAAAGTAGATATTTCTTGTAAAAACTCATTAAATTTTTTAAGTACTACAATAGATTGTGTAACCACCAATGTTTAAATAATAAAATGAGATAGAGTATTATTGATATCTTGAAAGTAGGGCAATCTTCAGATTAAAAAATAGCTCATCTTAATTGAGTATCTGAATTTGCAGAAGCAATTTCATTGAACCAAATCCATATTCAAAAGGCCTGGGGGGGGCAGAAACGTCATTATTAGATTATGATAGATGCACCAATGAGCCATAATATCCAATGAAGATCAGTATTTAGCCAAGTTTAGAAGACTGCTACAGCCATCCAGTTTTCTTTTGAGTGCCCTGCTGCCACTGAAACCTTAGTTTCAAGTATGAGTATTACCTGAAAACTTCATGGAAAAGGGTTTTTTGTAAGAAGATCCCCACTCTTTCATACAAGACAGCATGATGATGAGAGCATCAATTTTCAATCCAGTTTTAGCCAGCTTATGTTCTCTTCATTGGTGGGTTTAGATTCAGCCTATGCTCTATTTCTTGATGTACCACTGGATACAAGCTGAAACTAATTTTATAGCCCCAACGTCAGCAAGTCGTGTGAACCATATGCTTGGCAAAGGCTCCCTAACTTCTCAGTCTAGACAAGAGATCTTGGAGCTCTAGGTGCATCTTTTAAGTGCACGTTTAGCTCTCAGTTTCTTTTTATAGACAACAGCATGTGTTCACATATGGCTGATCTGATGAATGGATGTATTCAAAGTTTGGATATTTCACGGGTAAATTGGCTAACCAGATCTTTGATTATGAACAAGATTGAATGTATCTGATATACCATTATGAGGATTATTGCAGTTTGCCAAGTGCTTTCAAGAATCATGAAAGAAATTAAAAACTGCTTTTGTGCAGATAACATGCATCTGCTATAGGAACTCGCCAATAATCTTTTAAACAGATTAAGACTAACTGTGTAACCTGCATGTTTGTTAGAGGTGACCATAGCCTCGATTAATCTCCTTTTTAGATGCCATCTTGTGATGTCAGTTTTGGTTATTTCTCTTTTAATGGATATTATTCACAATCATGAGTGAGTAATTTCATTGTTATATTGTGTAAATGTACTTTCTGGTTATCTGTAAGTCTATTGAAAAGTGATGAAAATGTACTTATGAGGCAATGCATCATGCCACCAAAAAGTATTGTATGGTATAAAGGTACTTTCTGGTTTTGAACCACTACCTTTGAAAAACCAGGAAAAAGTATTGATGATGCAATGCAATAAATCACCTAAAAGTATTTATGCAGCAACCCAAGTATGCACTTAGCATCCTCCCAGAAAGATTTCTACTTCTCTGAACATTTTGAAAATGTGACTGCAGATTGTGATCCCTGCTGTGAGAATTTCAGCATAACGACTAACCACATATTGAAGTTAGTTGTCTTTGGCAAGATCTTGGATTAACTCTTCTGCATGCATAGACTGGTATGTGGCTTTCTTGAAGGCACCTCTTTTCATGCCTCTCATTTTAAGAATTTGGTGCTATGCTGAATTTATAGTATTCTCTTGATTGTGTTTCTGGTATTCGCCAAAAACAGATGCTCTTTACATGGGAAGAGCAACAGTGCAAAAAAATAACAAGTGTGTGTATCTTGTATGGAGAAATATGCATGTAAAAAGCTGGCAGCATTAAATGCATTCTTGAAGGAGATGACCCAAAGAAACGTTTCTCTCCAAAGTTGTGAACAAAGTCACGAATGCTGTCCAAAGTTTCCAATGAATTTACAACTTTTTGATGTGAATGGAGACAATCAGAAAGTGCTACTATAAATTACATTATATAACTGTGCATACACAATATATTTCATAAAAGTTGGCCCAGTTTTTAGTGTTTAATGTAATGCTTTTGAATACAATATACAGTCAAAAGTCGTTAATTCGGACACCCATAATCCGGAATGATCTATAATCCGGACCTCAAAGCTACAAACTTTCTGCGCATGCGTCGCATTCACGCATGCGCACAGGCGTTTACGAGAGCACGTAAGACCATTACGGCTGCGAATATGTTTGTGCGCATGCGCGTTTAATGTGTAACGGAGTTATACGCTAAGCTAAAGTTATCTAATTCAGTTAATGTTGCAGATTGCGTTGTTCCTTAATCTTCGAATCGTATCCGGCTTATTATTTTTTGCAGACTGTTAGAGCAATTTTATAAAAGTAAGCTTGAACTTTCGATTATGTCAAATAGAATTTCCGATATATATTTACTACAAAGCGAAAGTATGTTTTGAAATCCGAAATCTGTTTATCAATTTCACACTGCTCTGCGGCAGAGGGGGGGGGGCAGAAACGTCATTATTAGATTATGATAGATTAGAAAGATTATGTCAAATAGAATTTCCGATATATATTTACTAATATGTAATTTGTATCTACAAAGCGAAAGTATGTTTTGAAATCCGAAATCTGTTTATCAATTTCACGCTGGGGATTGGAAGTTGATCTGTCAGCACTATCCTTATCTTCAGAGCAGATGTTTTTATTTTATTTGGTTTATAATTCCGTACTAAGTGTAGTATTTCATCTCGATATACTCCGTCTTTGATATGATTTAAATCAAGTTCCTCGTCATTATAATTCGCTTCCGATAGTGAAGAAAGTGACCCAGAGGTTATATATTTTATTCAATATAAGTAAACTAGTTAATAAATTATAATAAATTGCCTAATACTTGCACTAAAGCTGCAAAATAATAAAATAATGATTTATTTCCTGATAGATTATTTAGTATATTATCTCCTTTGATAGAAGTAGTTAGAATTCTATTGAAATGAAGTAATGATAATTACTTAATTTGTTCTTTGCTTTTTCACTTTTAATTATATCTTTTTAATATTTATATTTTAAATATGTAAAAGATTCCATTTTAAATATACTAATGAATTACTTATATTTTAAATATATTTTACTACTCAGAGGAACATTCGATCAACTGTATTTCAACTCGAGCAAATGCGATTTACTCAAATTTCGATGTTCACTTCAAAATCACAGCTTCAAATGACTAGGGAAGGAGAAAACATCTGACCCTAATTCCATGAATTAATTCGGGACAGAAGTGCATTCTTATTCCAAATTCTCTACTTTCCTCAAAACTCTAGAATAACATTCTTATGCACAGTTGCATTGAATATAATCCACCTTCTTTGCAGAATAATTAACTCCCTTATGCATGTATTGTTCCCCTTATCACTTGTCACTTCAGTGAAACTTTGTTCGAAGACCCGGGAAAAACCTTCGAATAAAGATCTTCAAAAGATAAGAGCATCGCACATGTATCTTTCAGGTTTCTTTGCAAAGAAAAGGGTGTATGTTATACACTGAATATACCTAAAAATTAATAAATGTAATTTTAAATTATAGGTGTGCGTTATATGCTGGAATATGCAGTCTTTCCACTAAAGCTTTTCAATTTAATTTTCAATTCTTTGGATTGTATGCTATTTGTTCAAAGGTAAAATTTTGATTTGAAATTTTCACTGAAGTAGTTTATTATTTCAGTTATGTTTTCAGTCTTTAACTAGAATTATCTTTATTTAAGGTGCAAGATTCTATTTATTATTTACTTTTTTTCCTTACTTTGGGGATGGACCAGAATTTTCGGGTGAACTGTTATATAATTAAAATACATTGAAATGGTTCACCAGCCAACTCTGGATACACAAAAGCAAAGGTTTTTGTGGAAGAGAGATTTCAATTGATTTCAATGTTCCTCCTCCTGAGGAAGTGGCATTGAGGTTGACTGAATTCCTCTTCTATTGTGTTTGCTTTTCTTTAAATTTCTTTAATTTTTTGAATTGGGATATTGTTTGTTTCAAAAGTTTTGGTTTTAACATTTTTTTAAAATTCTTTATTGCATTTATAGGATTTTTTGAAATTTATTAATTATGAATTTCAATTTTTGATCTTTGTGAAAAAATTAGCTCTAAATTTCTTATTTTATGTCTTTACTGATAATTTTTCAGCAGCTTAATGCACAAAAATACTAGGCATGTTTATATTTTGTTTTTAAAAAAATTGTTTTGTAATTATATACACACACTTATATATACACATACACACATATATAAGATAATTTAAGGGAATACTCTAATAGTATTAAACTTGATTAATAACTGTGCAGCATATTTAATATGCTGCTATATCTTATTACAAATTATCTGCATGTAAAATTAGGATAATATATTTGATACATGAATATGGAAGATCTTGTATTTCTAGAAATTTCTCGATTTTTGATTAAAGTTTTTTTTTTTTTTTTTCAGACAAAAACTCCAACGACTATTGTTCATAATGGCCATGAATATATTTTTGAAGGATTTTCAATGTTTTCCCACTCTCCTTTACCTAAATTGCCGAATTGTAAAGTGATTCGCTTTAATTACGAGTATACTATTTTGTATATTGAAGAAGAGATGCCACAGAATTTTACAGTAGTAGGATTAGAGCTGTTTATGAAGTATCTTCTAGTAGAAATATTAGAATTGGTTGACTTAAATTGGAAAGCTCACGATGATATAAATGGATGTCCTCGCTTCCACTTTATGCCACGTTTTGCTAGAGAAATTAAAGGTAAGAAAGATTTAAATTTCCCTTAAAATGCAGGTATTTTCTGTTACAAATGGTTATAGGAAGCGATATAATTCGCATATATTTAGTGATACATCAGATTAAGCTTTGATTATCCGGGTGGTGTAGCTTCTCTACGTAAGAATCTTTTGCCATGTGACATAATCAGTTCTGCAGTCTAAAGAAGAAAGTGAGAATGTATTCCTCACTTAGTTTTCAATTTTCTATAACCCTGCTCTTTATCCTTTTTTAAATGTATATGGAGAGGGGGAAGGAGTTATGCTAAAATTTTTGCTTTTTAACTATACTTTTATGAATGGAAAATCCTTAATATATACACCATCGTATCAGTTACATCTGATATACTTCAACACGTATGAACTGAGATGGACTATAAGTTAGATGTGTGTCTCATGACAAAAGAATCTCACCTAGAGCATCTATACTGTATGACAAGAAACCTGAAAATCAAATGTATGGCAGTAACATTTGCTCCATAACTATTTACAAGAGGATGAATCTTTTTGACTTACTCTTATATCAACTAATGTAATTCTATGTTATGTTGTATGTATGTGCTTATATTGTACTTTTTTATTTTATGAAAAACTGCCCCCTAGTTAATAACAAGCATTAGCAGAGACTGGCAGCTTTGCTGTTGGATTGATTTTGAACTCTTAGTTAAGGCTAAAAGTGTTTGTGTTTTTCATGCTTGTGTGGAAAAGTGACATATAAAGTCTCTGGGTATGAAAATTACATTAATAAATTGTTTTTACGAACAGGGATACCGAAACTGATTCCTTCTTTGGGGTTATCGGTATAAATTGGAATGGTAACTTATAGGTAATGTTACTTTTGTGGATAACAGAGTTTAAAAGTTATGTATACTTCCAAGGTAGTGATAATTCGGTAGCAACATTTACCTACGTGTGACATGTACAAGTGTGAGTCAACTGTTAGTTACTCTAAGCAAGTATGCATTAACTCCTTATACTTCTTACCTAGATAACCAACACTTGCCGGTGCACACCTGTCACCAACATCCTAAGTCGTGATAAAATTGTAGCTCCAGCCAACCAGCGCTGCACTTCCAGTGGCCTCACTGGCACTGCTATCTTTCATTTTATGGCTCACTATTACCAGCTCAAGTAAAATACATTACATGATACACATTGCAATACATAGTTTTACAAGGTGCATGTTTCATGACATTATCTGTTGTAGTAGGTACAGGCATCATGTGCCATGATGGTTATGTACTGAACTTTTGCCTGCAGCTTTATCTGTGTAGACGGCTGATGGCTTGGTTAAAAATATATGCTCATCAAAATTAGAGGATAATAAGAAAAAATATGTTCACTAAGTTAACTTTGCAACCAATGTTCAATGCTGTAATTATTTATGTTAATTAAAGACAACTAAACACAAAATTGCCCTTCTGCATATATGTTAGAGCCGGAACTATGTAAACTCGGCGATTGACAATGTGGAGCACAATGGACACATATTGGAATTAGTGACATTTAAAGTGAATGTGGTTTCTGAGAGTGATCAGTATCCAGTAGATATGACTCAAAGGCATAGTTTATGTGAGGGTCAAAAGTGGTGAATAATTAGTAGAATTGAGGAGGCTAAACATGAATGGAAGTTGCCCAAGATTGGAATATCCATCAAAGTGTCATATCAAGAGTCTGGACCTGTTTTTTAAGCACTGGATCAGTTGTTAGACAGCCTAGTCAAAGGCAACCAAGAGCAACAACTGCATCAGAAGACTGTTTTCTGTCATTGGAGGCTCAAAGAAACCCTTAAGCAACTAGAAAAGATTTGGTTTTAAACCTTCAGACTGCCAAAGGAACTCCAATTAGTCGTTCTAGTGCTGCACGAACTGGCTTAACAAGGTTGGACTGTATGCAAGAAAACCAATGGTTTGTATCCCACTCACTCTGGCTTCCAGAGGGACCCATTTAAACTGGTGCCATTATTATGTTCAATGAAGCCAAGATGACTAGGCTTACCAAGGTACTGTTAACTGACAAGTCCAGATATAGTCTGAATAGTGATTCTAGATGTGTTTTGATCTGGAGAGAGGAAGGAACATCCAATTTGCCGTCCCTTATCCGTGAAATATCTCGTTTCCATGACTGCAGTTTAATGGTTTGGGAAGGAATCATGACAAATCGCCGCACCGAGCTGCATATCTTTCAAGAAGGTTCTATAACTGCTCGGAGATACGTAGAAAAGGTTCTGGAATCCCAAGTTAGACTGCTTAGGGGTGCTGTTGGCCCAGAGTTTTTGCTAATGGATGACACTGCTCAGCTTCATTGAGCATATGTGGTGTCAAAATGCTTGCAAACAGAAGATACCATGAAAATGGATTGGTCACCTTATTCACATGACTTGAACCTGATTGAGCATGTGTGGGATGCTTTATGGCACTGAATTTCAGTGCGCAGATTTCTTCTGGATCCACCAGGATGTGAAAAGTGCATTTTTAGTTGGCATGTAATAATTGGCATGTAATTAAGACTTGATTAATATTTTGGTAAAGTCTATGAAATCAAGATGCGAGGTATGCATATCTGTCTGAGATGAAAAGGCACCATATTAAAGACAATTTTTTTCCACAAGAGGTGACTTAAATTTTTTATCAATTTCCAGTTTCCATAAATGTGGTTTTAATTTCAATATTTTGTGAATAATCAACTGCCAAACATTGTAATTTTTGTTAACTAATGCTTTTGTACAATCAGTAATTTTTCATTAACTATCGATTAAATTTTGTTCTGTCATTATCCTTTAATTTTAATGACCAGTGTATATAAGATATTCTTTTGATGCAACGACAAACTCGGAGGGGTAGTAAGCATCAGGAGTAGGAAAGGTTTACCTCCCTCCAAGAAAAGTGCAATGTAGATATGTACTCACTTTTCTTTTGTCTGAAATTGACTGGGAGCATCCTCACCCTTCAAAGAACTTGAAATAAAAAATTATGTTGTTTTAGAACAGTCTAAAAGCCTCTAGGTCAGTGATGGTGAACCTATGGCATGTGTGCCACAGTCAACACGTAGAGCCCCATCAGCCGGCACGCGACTAAAATATCACTTCCTTTATCAATAATCACAATAAAACAATATTATGTAATTTAAATAAGTGTTTCAGCCTGTTCTTGAATGTTTTACTTATCTTTACTTACGGCTTACTTTTTACTTACGCCAATTTAACACCAACCACGAGATTGTTGCTGAACGTGATGAATCTGAATGGAAGGTATTTATTGGTGGTGGAAATTGATGAATTATGTTTACCAGAAAGTTGGTTTTTGCAATTATCTTTCTAAAACAAACCATCTAACAATGGCCAGCTTTCAAATTTTGTTGTGCCTGGCAAAACAAGGTAAACTGCTCTCCGATGGGGATTTAATTAAAAAGGTTTGGGGCACACCACCTCAAAACGTTTCACCACCACTGCTCTAGGATCATTGCAATTTTTGCAAGATAATAGAGTCAGAGGTGGTATTATTAGTGGTGTATTTGGTGAGTACTGGCTGGTATCCAAATACCAAATATTTCATTTTGACTTGCTATATATTCATGAAACTGTATTGTAATTCTTATAATATATTGCTTGCTTTTATCATTTTTTTTAATGTAATTTATTGTCATGCAGAAAATTCATGATGAAAAAATGTTCATATTTTAACTTAAAATCATTATATGGTCAGCATTAATTTCAATGTAAAAGAAACTAAACATAGAGGTCCTTTTGATTGGTATTATTTAAGTGATATGCTGCTGTGTTATGAAAAAGTAACATAATGCTCTTAAAATGCACTTAGCTTTTTTTAATGAATATCAATTTTAATTTTGATCTAATATTAAGAGAAAGCTTGTCTGACATTATGTATAGAAGATTTAGATGATAATATATTTTCTATTTGTGTTTTATGAGTAATTTTTAAAACTTATGATATTGTTGCAGGTAAAGGGAAGGAACTATTATCATTGTGTGAGGTTTTGAAGTACCTACTGAATGCGAACAAAATTTTAATTGATGAACAAAAGTTGCCTGAAATTTTGTCTCTTCCCACCCAAGAATGGCAAAATCTTGCTGATGAAGTAAAAGGAATGATTGTAACTTGTCCGGGAATGAAACCATCATCTATACGTGTTGATCAGCTGGATAGAGAGCAATGTGATCCATACAAAGATATATTTCCTGTAATTGTCCATTTTGGGGTTCGACCGCCTCAACTGAGTTATGCTGGAAATCCACAGTAAGTAATGCATTTTATTCTTTTCACATCATCAAGTATAATTTGTATTTCAGCAATGTTCAAGTGAACCTTGATCTTGTCTTAGGAGCCAACAAGGAAGAAAGATGTGGCTTAGCTACCCAGTTAACTCCACAGATAGTTCAGCAAAGGTACAGGGATATTAGCGCTGAAGTTAATGTACATAACAGGCTTTTTCTTGTAACTTAGATGATGAATAAGAAATAATTCATGCGTCCTTAACAATTCATGCGTTCTTGTAAAATTTCCTCCCTAGCCATCATCCTCTTAAACTATAGATCTGTCTTCTAGATTCTTTCCAGCTGCAGAACTTCAGACTTAAAACCTACTTGTGTGGGCCAACATCTTCTTAATGCTCTTGTTGACCCTTTAATATTACATGAGTGTTGGCTGTTTGTGAAATAGAGGAAAATGAAAGTGCAGTAAAGAAAGGAATATTTACACTTAGAAACTTCAAATTTGGTGCCTTGCCATTATATTAAGAGAATGATAAACATAGAATTTAGCAAGATTTAAAACTCCGTTCTACATAAAGGTTAGTGGCTGTATATCTTGGATAAGAGATATACTATCCCAGATTATGCTTGTATTACAGCTGTGGTATTGTTCTGCCTTTTAGTGACATGATTGTCTTAATAGTGATCAGGGACAGATTAAGACTTTTAGAAGAACTTAAGATTTTGATACACCTATGTAATGCATTTACAGTATAATACCTGTTTATTCCTAGTTTCATTTATGTTGGATTTGATCTAACTGCAGCATATGTTCCATGGTAAAATCAGTAGTGAGAATTTTTTATAGTGCCTTCTTTCTATGAGTTCCAAGAACCATTTTGTGGTGCTGCGTATGCTTGATGCCTGAGCACATGCTTTTTTTGCTTAATGGTTTATCCAGCATTGATCATCTTTAATATTCAAACTGATGTTATTCTGAAGAATCCACAGATGGAGAAACCTATGTGGTTCTGGCAACCCATAATTACATTTAAACATGTAATCTGCAATTAATGGTTTTAATTCTGTGATTCAGAAGTATCAATAGGAAAGACTGTTAATGGCATAAGTCTTAAAAGCAGGCATTTGTAAATAATATTAATAATAATTATTCTAAAATCTGGGTAAATGGTAGAAACTGTGAATCATAAGAAAGCTTCATTTTAAAAGTGCATGTATGATAGCAGAGATGGGCAATTTTGAAGTCCAGTTTAATAGGTCTGTTGGTACTATGGTCCATATATTTTTAGTCAGTATTTGAGAATATATCCTTGACTAGGGTTGTTTCAAGTAGTTATATTAATTTATCTGCCTAAGCAATTTTTTTTTGGGGGGGGGATCATATCGACAAAACATTAAGCTCACACGTAGTAAAAATTTAAAAATGTCATTTTGAAGATATTTTTATAAGATATTTTGTCCAATTAATGAGATTACTGTAAGTGCTTATAAAAATCAATAATTAACCATGGTCGGTCTTCAGTGATGTTATTCTCAGCAAGTCTTGAAGATGTTGACATATTTTTTTTAATGATTTTTCTGCTTTCTTAATGAAAAAAGAAAGGCTTTCATTATTTTTGTATGTCTCTCTATTTTTGGCTCTGTCAAAGAATTAGCCTTTTGTAAGCAATTAAGATTAGCTTTAGAGTAAAAGTTGTCATGGTAATACACGTAAACATTAAACTGAGTTTTACATTTGGCCAAAAGTTTAAAATTCATTAATTCTACCGATAAACGTAAAATATCAACTTTGTAATCTGAGAGCAAGCTTGGTAAAAGGCAAAGAAAAAAGCAACCACTTCTCTATGCAGCAGTCTTTGGTTTGAAAGTCAGTTTTCTTGTATCCTGAAACATTGCAGTGGTTAGAAATGGGCTTCTAAGCATGAGTGTTCTACTTTGCCACTCAATTTTGGGTATTTTCCTTTGGCTTCATTTTCAAACATTTACATTAAAAAAAGGGTTACTTTGTAAGTTACATACTTTCAGCTGTATATTCTCCTGTGGCTTTAAAATGTTGCCTGTCATCTAATCACTATCGGCATATGCACCTTTCATCCATTCGCCGGTTCTGAGGTATAGTATGTGTACTCAAAAGAATAGAAATATTCATGTATTAAATTCTAACAATAGATGTCTTGTAATTAAGACACAATAACTCGCTAAACAAATACTAATTCAGAAGTCAAAACAGCAAAAATCAGCGTTATATTTTCAAAATTTTCACAGGACTAGTTTCAATGGTTTTACCGAATCACCATCCTCAACTGCAAAACCGCAAATGAACAAGATAAGAAATAATGATTAGATAAGATAAGAAAGCCTGGACAAGAATAAGCAAGTGGTGCCATCTATTGGTGAAAACAGAACTAAAAAATAATTTCTTTAAAGGTCGAAGGCAAAGATGGATTGGAATTAGGATTGTTAACTAGAACAGAGAGTTTTTTTTTTTTGAATGTGAAATGCCTCTAGAAAATCCAGTTCTCCAATGGAAGATGTTTTTTGAATAATTTTGGCAGCAGAAAAATTGAAAGTGTGATTTTCGAACCAACAATGTTGAGCAACAAAAGACTTCTGCATTTCCTTTTTTCTAACATATGCCTCATGTTCCTTGACGTGAAATTTTAAGGCTCTATTAGTTTAGCCAATGTAAATTAAACCCACTGGCAAGGAATCCTAAATACCCCAGGAATTCATATCCGAATGGGGTCCTTGAGTATGGAACTCGGAATTTTATTGATGGGAGAATAAACGACCCGAAAGTTAAATTTCTGCAAAATATGCACAACTTTATAGCTAATTGATGGAAAGAAGGGAATGACAACAAAATTTTCATAATCTTCTAAAACAAGAGTGTGCCTTTTAGTCTGTTGAGATGAGAGTTTTTTAACTGCTTGATTAATAATGTTGGGTGAAAAGCCCCTGTCAATAGCTATTGCTTTTAAATAATTTAGTTCTTCATCAAGGGATAGTTTGGAGGAGCAAACTTGAAGAGCACAGAAAACATAGGAATAAAATGAAGCTAACTTTTATTTAGTCGGATGACATGATTTATAAAGTGTGGTGGAAGGCAAACCGATGATGGTTTAAGGTAAACCGTAGTACTGAAGTTGGATCTGTTACGTGTGACCAGAATGTCGAGAAACAGAAGAGAATTGCAAGTCTCAAGTCCAAAGTGAACTGAATACCAGGATCAATAGAATTCATTGTTGAAAGAACTTTATTTAAATCATCTTTATTACCTTCAAACAGGGTAAAAGTATCGTCTATGTAGCGGAACCATACCAGGAAGTTTAAAGTTTCAAACAATTTTGATTCATAATAATGCATGTAGATATCAACCAGGATCGGACTGAGAGGGCTTCCCATGGCTAGGCCCTCAGTTTGCTTGTAATATTTATTTTGGAAAACAAAATATGTGTGTTTCAAACAGAGTTGAGTGAGAGAAATTAGCTCATAAATTTTGTTTACTTTTGAACTTGAGACTTGCAATTCTCTTCCTATTCTCGACATTCTGGTCACACATAACACATCCAACTTCAGTACTACGGTTTACCGTAAACCATCATCGGTTTGACTTCCACCACACTTTAAATCATGTTATCGGACTAAACAAAAGTTAGCTTCATTTTATTCCTATGTTTTCCGTGCTCTTCAAGTTTGCTCCTCTTAACTATCCCTTGATAAAGAACTGAATTATTAAAACAATAGCTATTGCAGGGCTTTTCACCCAACATTATTAATCAGCAGTTAAAAAATTCTCATCTCAAACAGTAAAAGGTACACTCTTGTTTTAGAAGGTTATAAAAATTCTGTTGTCATTCCCTTCTTTCCATCATTAGCTAAGTTGTGCATATTTTGCAGAAATTTAACTTTCGGGTCGTTTATTCTCCCATCAATAAAATTCCGAGTTCCATACTCAAGGACTCCATTCTGGAAATGATTCCTGGGGATTTATAGGATTCCTTCCAGTGTGGTTTAATTACATTGGCCAAACTAAGAGTGCCTTAAAATTTTGAGTCAAGGAACATGACTCGTATTTAGAAACAGGAACACAGAAGTCTTCTGTTGCTCAACATTGTTGGTCCGAAAATCACACTTTCAATTTTTCTGCTGTCAAAATTATTCAAAAAACATCTTCCATTGGAGAACTGGATTTTCTAGAGGCATTTCACATTAAAAAAAAACTCTCTGTTCTGGTTAACAATCCTAATTCCAATCCAGCTTTGCCTTCGGGCTTTAAAGAAATTATGTTTTAGTTCTGGTTTCACCAACAGATGGTGCCACTTGCTTATTCTTGTCCAGGCTTTCTTGTCTTATCTAATCATTATTTCCTATCTTGTTCATTTGCGGTTTTGCAGCTGAGGATGGTGGTTCGGTAAAACCATCGAAACTAGTCCTATGAAAATTTTGAAAATATAACACTGATTTTTGTTGTTTTACTTCTGAATTAGATGTCGTGTATTTTTCATTTCTATACTGATGTTGTAATTCTTTCAAGCAGGTGAGAATTTTGATTTTATTTTTCAGTTACCAAAAAGCTTGGCGTGATTATGTAAAGTATCGTCATTTGCTGGCCAATAAACCAAAGGTGAAGTATGCTGACAGGCACAGACTGATGCAGAAAGAGACAAGACTACAAGAAATGAGATTAGAAAAGTAATTGATAATTTGAAACATTTTATGTATATAATGCTGAAATCCCAGTAATTAGTATTATTTTTGCTAATAACATTGTTTTATGTATAATATTCATGACAGATATGATTTATTGATCTATTTTCAAAATTCAGTTTACTTGATGATTTTTGCTCTTTGACAAGTATAGTTCTCGTAATATATATTGTTTTAGTTTCTTTTAAACTTTTATCATTAAGTAATTGTGCATTTAGACATTTACAGCCATTATGTTGTACAAATAGTTTCAAAAAGCAAGCAGAACTAAGCAACAAAAATTGATATGTAACTTCTAATCAGCATTATGTGAACTCTTGCATTATTGAACTCTGAATGTAAATTTATTCTAACAAGATGAAACTAGTAACATTTCTGTTCCTTGCCTTTTAAAGAGAAAAGAATTACATTTGGAATATATTAATTCTTAATAATTAAGGAATAAAAGTATTCTGTGAAAAAATAGTTTCCTGCTTATTGCACTATCTTCTTAATTATTTCCATGTATAAGCATAGAATTTTTACCAAATATTTTGCTGCTGAAGATTAGGGGTTGATTTATATATAAGTTCAAAGTGATTTTTTAGATAATATAGTTGAAAAAATTTGTTGATTGAATTTCATGTAATACTAATATGCATCAATTTTTTAATACAGTAAAAGTCTGACTATCTGGCATTCAACTGACTAGCAATCTTAAGTAACCAGAATATTTTAGAATTTTAGAAATATTTTTGCAAAAAACATTTAATAAATGGGAAATTTATAATGCCATTATAGAGCTCATAATACTGTTAACACATATACATTATTTCCAAACAGTGCAATTTAGAGCCAGTAATGGATAAGCATAACTACAACACTAAGGAGTTTGTTTTGCTTGTGTAATATAAATTCGATCAATTCTCTGTAAGCTGGTTTAATTTTTGTAAAGAAGGATATAAGTTCTGTTTTCTCCTCCCATTATGAAAAAATGATTACTATTTGGGACTGAATGAAGCGGAGTACAGAGTCTGGGCATTAAAAATAAAATTAAAAAAAAAAAAGTAAGAAAATAAAAGATATACGACTTTGAAATGGATAAACAATATGATGTAACATATGTAACATGGAATATTATTATAGGTAATATGCATAATTTTCATGTCTGTATTATCAAACTAAATTAGAAAAAGATATGTTTGTTTAAACTTAGGGCGAAATGATTGGTGGCATTTTCGGTGAAATTTCATAATTGGATCAGAGTGATAAAGTGCATCGGCTTTTATAAGCTTGAAATGTAATTTGTTTTCATCTGAAATCTTAACTTTAAATGTAGGTTTTTATGTTCAGGATGGTAACAAATCAGATGGTTGTTTTTATAATTTTAGAGCAGAAAAGTTTCCCACTAATATGGCTTTTCTAATGTGAATTCCATTTTTTGTACTCTCAATTCGTGTATCTGGAATTTGGCATTTCCCGAGCTATGGGGATAGTTAAGCTTTTACTGTTATATGAGTATCAATCCAAAATTTTCTAGAATTTCTTTGAAGTCTTTGCTGAGAGAAATCTAGGTGAATGGTATTATCCTTTATTTCCTCAATAATACTGCTAATATTCATATTGGAGATAATGTCATTTTCATTTCCATCTATAGCATTGCTCAGCAAAAGTAATAACTTTTAGTTAAAACTAGCAGAATATGCAGGCCATAATTTTTGTCCACACAATCACTTTATTGTGGAAATAAAGTATATTTTACCTATTTGCAAGAGTGCAGATGAAAGGAAAAATTCTTGTGATTGTGAGAAAGTTTATTGTAACTGAGAACTGAAGTAAAAGTGGCCACACTATTGCTAAAGTGCCAAATTATATGTATGCTAAAAAATTAGGATAATATAGGAAAAGAAACTGTTGGTGCTGTGATCCGTATTTTTTAATGGAAGCTAAAGATGGAAGCTTGGCATTTACCTTCAGTTCATCTAACAATATCTGGCTATGATATAATTAATAATTTGCATTTTTGATTATATATGTAGCAGGATTTACATGGCAATACTGAATTTGGCTTACTTACTGGCTTTTAAAATTGGCTGATTTTTTGCAACAAAATTGTATCTTTTGGCTTATATTTGGAAATATATCCTCATGCAAAGTTGTAGTTTTTCAGATTTTAAAGTGTATTAAAAGAATTACATTTCCTCCCAGTTTTATGTAATTTGCATTGAATTTTTAGTGATTTGAAAAGGGATGTTACTGTAGTAATAAGTAGCAAAGGATTCTTCAAAACCGGAATCATGAGTGATGTAATTCAGGTAAGTTTAATAAAGATTTAATTTTGTTTATAAAGCAAGATTAATAACTGTTGTATTATTTATACTTATTAGTAAATATGCAAAATTACCTTCAAAGAAATTATTTTTGTAATTTGTTAAATTTAATCTGATAATTTATCACTAAAAAATTGGAATTATAAGTGATGCAATTCAAGTAGGCTTAAAGAATTTCGTTACTGTAGTGTGCTAATTAATCTGAACGCATAAATAATTTTAATGAAACATGCATTTTCAAAACTTATAAATAAACTTAATGTGAAATATGCCCTTTATGAATTTAAAAAAAAAAACCTTTTCTCTGAGAACTTGTTTCTAACATTTTGTCTTTGATTTAATCAGTTTTCTTTGCGTTCATTTCACCTAATTATTGTAAAACCATACTTTGATGATATTGGAAATTAAAAGATTTATTCATGTTTTTTGTTTTCAGTTTTCCTTTCTTGACTGACCAAAGATTCTCAATTAGGTTGAACTTAGTTGAGTTTCCTGTATTTGAACCAACTGAGAAGCACTTGCAAATTTCTTGTATCTGTGACATGTAAAAGAATCTTGTTGTAAAATCCCATTTCTGTGAGGTGTAGTTTTGTCAGAGTTGGACCAATTCTTTTCTTAATAATTTCAAATTATTTTTCTAAGTTCATCATTTCAATGATTAGTATAAAAATCCTGTACATGGACAAAAGAAAACCAAACTCAGAACATTTATTACATGGGTATTTTTAAGTCTGGCTCCTGTATTTTGATGATACATGGTGTCTTTTAGTTCTGCATACCCATTATGAGCAATAAAAGGATTTTTTTCTGAAAGAGAACATTTTTGTAATCTTTTAAGTTTCATTTTGACCAAATCAACTAATTTTTCTTCATCTGGATGTTTAAGTTGCTTTTTCTGAGGTCGAGTAGCTTTATGGCCAGGTTTAACTTGTTGCAGAATTACATAATTTGACTTAAAAAAATTAATCAGGTTTCTTTTTTTTGGGGGGGAGAGTAGAGGAAAAATCAGTAAACCAAGGATTTTTTTTACTCCCTAATCAGTCAGTATAATCTCAGCCTGTAGTTTTACACTTTTTGCCATATTTTTCAGTTCTTTTTACACCAAGGCACAAGTACTTTTTTAAAGCTTAAAAAGGGTATTAACAGTTATTTCATGGATCTCATTTTTGGTTGTTTGATTCATGGAAATGTCTTGATTTAAAATAACAATTTTGCTTCTTTTACCAGAAGTGATTCCATCGCACCAGGAAAAAAAATTAGAACAAATAAGCACAGTTATTAAAAGATGAACATCTTTCTTTGAAAAAGTAACAAAAGTACTTGATGCAAAGACAATTATGAACTCAGAACAGTGTGCAAGTATAAAATGGCATAAATTGAAGGGAAAATTCAAAACTAATCAGTGCTGTCATTTATGGAAAATAAAATATTTAAAAAATAATCTTTTGCTCAGATTAATTTACACACTATTATATTGTGTTATTTATTTTTATCAATTAATTTTTATAGGAAATTGCCTGTAGATGAATTATTTTTAGAATTTATTAACATTTAATTTAGCAATATATTATTTCATTGTCAACTAGCATGCTATGCTTCTCCCAGTTTTGGTTTGCCACCTGAGGTTTCACCAGTCATTGAGTAATCTGGAAGAGAAAATTGGCTATAAGTTTAAGGATCGTTTTCTATTGCAGGTAGGCTATGCATCTAGATACTGATTTAAATTAATTGTGCATTTAGTAATTTGTTCTGAAAATTCAAATCTTGCAAAATTCTTCATTTTTATTTTATTTAATTTCATTTTTTGTTAAATTAGAATTGAAACCTGTTACAGTTATTTCATTAGCAGTGTATTAAATAGCACTATAGAATAAGTTTCACTTTACACCCTGCATTTTTTTAAAATTGCAGTGCAACTAATACTGATCTTGTATTGAAACTTCATTACAACTTTGAAAGCAACTTTAAACAAATTTTTATCATCATCATTATTATTTTTATGATTTCTTATATTTTTTCTATTACATTTTCTCTTTTGATGCAAAAGGTATTTTAATGTAAGTTCTGTCTCATAATGTTATTTCATGTTTCACATGCATGCACGTGTTCATTTGAGACATCTCTTTATCATTACATTTATATGCATGTGCTCTTCTAAATTAACTGAAACAAAAGTGTCTCATGCCATTATTAAGTGAGACGTGATCATATAAACATAACTGCTGATAAAACTCACTTAACAACACTGTACTGTGTATAAATTCCTACTAGGAAAAAATGTTATAGAAGTGTGTCAAAATTTAGTGAAAGATTTTAGTAAGAAAGGTAGTTTCAACTAGGCAGAAGATGTTTAAAAAATTTGAAGCAGGTGGTTTCGATCTTAATGATAAGCCATGCTCGGCAGCCATCTGTGATTGCCGCTGGTATTGTCAAAACCATCATAGAACAAGATCATTTTTTGACAACATTACAGATTATGGTAAAGCACAACTCAGCTCAGCAAACCATTTCAGACCACATTTGGAAACTAGGATTGGTCTATAAATATTCCAGATGGTTGGCTTGTGTGTTAAGTGAGAAAAACTTGCATGATTGACACATCATATGCACATCTCTGCTTGTTCAGAAACAAAATGAACCCTTCTTGGATCGGATGATAACTGGTGATAAAAAGTGGATTCCTATGGAAATATCGTTAGGTAAAGAGCATATTGTGAGCTCAGAAAATCTGCCTTCCATCTCTCAACTAAACTTGGAGTTGAATAACAGAATATAGTGTATAAAGTGGGATATCCAAGGACCAATATATTACAAGCTTTTTAAAACTTAAATTTGGAGATATACTGTCTGCAAATAGTTGATGTAAATAAAGCAGTCGAAGGAAAGAGGCTGGCAATTTTCAGAAAGCACATCATACTGCATCTTGATAATGTCAGTTCCCATGTTGCTTTAAAAAATTGCACAATTAGCGCTGTGAAATTCTGCTGCATCCACCATATTTCTCAGACCTAGCACATTCCAACTATTACTTGTTTCTAGCCTTGAAGGGAAAAGAATTCAAAACTGAAACAGATGTAAGCTAAACATTACTTGAATTCTTTGCCTCTAAGGGAAAGATATTTTTTCAAAAATGGTATTTACAAATTACCATCACACTGGCAAGGTATTGTAAGTAAGGATAGAGATAATATTGTGCTTAAATATTATTAAAGGTATGAAAGATGTATTATATTTTTCACTTCTAAAAGAATATAGAAGACTTTATATGTATGTGAGTATGGAATACAGTTAAATTCATTTATCACTGTGAGCACCTCTGAATGCAAAGTAATGAAATAATAGTACTGAACATCATTAATAATCATGTTTTCAAATTCATTCACCTCCATGGGTTATTGTCTAAGAAGTTTTACTGCACTTTTGATTTTTTTTTGGGGGGACTGTTGTCTAATTATTAAATTTATAATTTTGTTACTGCATTAAAGGACCATCTGTGTTTTTGAAGGCAGAGGAAGTTTTTGAAATTTTCCATGTTAGATCGGTCTCTCTGAGTTAAAATCCCGTTAAATTGGCTGGCTGTGTGGGAGTTTTCATAATTTTCCACATCTGTAATGTGAATGTGAGCCAGATTTCCTTATAAAATCCTTCATAAAAACATCTCTAGCTCTAGGCAGATAACTTCTGGGTTCTTTGATAAAATACAAATAATCCAATCCTTTTTCATTTTGCTCTATGATAGATACAGATGTGAAGTGGTTCTAAACTGAAAGGCTAACTGTGCAATATGTACATTTTTAAAAGTAGCAAGTATTATTTTTTTAAAGATTAATTTGAATAAATAAATAGAATTATTCATATTTTGCTTATATATTACTTTGATTGTTGAAAAAAAACGGAGTAAAAGAAAAGGTATTGATTGAATAAAAATATATATATCTGTTAGAACCTTAAAATTTTTTATGAAGCAATATGAGCATAATTTGATTATATAAAATAATATTCTGTCATTCAGTGTGACATTGTTTGCTTCACGTTTTTTAATTAAAGATGTCTCATATAACAGTTTAGGAATAACAAAAATATTAATTAAATAATTAATATTTACTTTTGTGGCATGCAGAATTTCCAACATACAAAGAACATGAGCTCTTCAGTAATGAAAAGAAGTCTTCTAAATGAGGAACTTTTGTTGCAGTTTGGTATCTTTGGTGATGCTTTCATTAAAGAACAGATTGAAAAATTAATTCTTTTTAAGAACAGAAGGCCTCCAAATTGTTATAGCTTTTGTTTCAGTTTGAGATCTCTGGCCTTACTTTCAAAAGAAAATGCTTTGAAGTATTGATTTCTATTTAAAGCAGATGGTCTGAAATTTTTATGTATTTTTTGTTGTAACTTTTGTTGCTGTTTAGGTACTTTCACAAGACAGCAGTTTGAAGAACCAATTCATACTTTTTTTTGCAAAACATGTTCGTAGCTTTCCTGAAACATACACGTTTTTTGTATCTATGGTTTTAAGTACAGAATTTTTTTGGAAGCTGCATGGTTTTGGAAATGGTTGAAGGAATATTTAATTATTTTCTGATATAAAATATAATCATCAAAATCTCCAACTGAAACTTTATATCAAAATTTGCATTCGTCTTTATGGAATACTCTGAAAAAATTTGTACTCTCGGAACCATTGACAATCTAAAATCAACTCTGAGTTCAACATTCCGGAGTGTCTATAATATAATAAAAAATTCATTTTTTATGGTCTTATTCATAAAATTACCATAGGAGAATTGTGTACAGTGTTAGACTATAATTTATGGTATTATTTCTCAGATTTGTATGCCTTCACTTTTTCTCTTAAATATGAAATTTTTTAATTTTTGTTATTATTTTAATGCTTGAAATAATTACTGTTTTAGTTTAGGAACTTTTTATGTAACTTGGATGATCTGAAAGTGTATGTACATAAAAAAAATCTCATTTTTAACTGTTTAATTGATAATATTAAAACATTTTGCTTATATATTTATTATGATATTGTAGCTTGCTCTCACTCACCCATCCTACAGAGAAAATTTTGGGACAAATCCAGATCATGCTCGTAATTCGTTGACAAATTGTGGATTACGGCAACCTCAGTATGGTGACAGAAGAATACATTACATGAATACACGAAAAAGGGGTAAAACATATTAATGAAGTTTATGTAAACTGCTGATGTTTCATAATAAATGAACCATGCTGTAAATGAAATGGCGGGAATTATCTGCTGATATTTTTTTTACTTTTATGTAACTGAAATATGATGAAGTGTCACATAAGGAAGTTTGAAGCAATATAAAATTGTGTACTTTAATCTTGAGCTAAGGGCTTTGTTGCCATTTCATTTATATATTTCTCACAGTTAAAGTTCTGGAAAGAAATGGATTCAATTATCAGTTAATAATTTTGCAGTTTTACCTATATAAATGTGATAAAATGCCATTTATGACTAAAGTGATAAAAAATGTTCTGCTTTAGGGAATTTATAATTGTTTCATTTCCATATTTAAATAATTTTTTTTACCGCAATGAGAAAATTGAAATTATTAGTTAATAATTTGTAATTGTTGGGGTCTCGTCCCCAAATAACACACACTAAATAAATTCGCTGGTTCGATTCTTTATTAATTCTCATAATTAATTACAATTAACTCATAGCTGTGACCAGCCCTCTTACACCGTCGATGGCGATTCTCAAACTCGTTAGATCATCACATTACAGATGCGCATGCGTGGATTACATTACAGATGCGCAGGCGCGAACATGCCGCCCCGCGTTGCAATGCTTAGCATTCAACTATTGTAATTAAGATATAGCATAAAAAAATTAAACAAGTATATCATAAACAATTTTGAATAAGTACTATTACATAAAATCATTATTATAATTAGACATTTACCATATACATAAGCGTACAACTCAAAGCAATACAATATAACATTTCAGTTACATAATGACATTTTATGTGAAGCACATTCAATACTGTACAATAACTATAAAGACAATACTCATTTTTGTATTGGTAAGACACATAATTTGGTAATTGGTCGTTTGAAAGTTCCAGTTTTGAGTTTTTACATTACACACGCGAACCTTTCCATCTTTACCATAAAATACTTCTATTATACGACCAACCGCCCAATTACAACAAGGCAAATTATCTTTAATTAAGACCATGTCTCCAACTTGTATATTGTTTTTAGAACTTTGCCATTTAGATCGATTTTGTAAATGACTTAAATAATTGGAGTTCCATTTTTTCCAGATAATTTGTACTAATCTTGTGATCTGTTTGCCACAATTTTAACCTGTTAATGTTAACTTCCGTGATATCTGGCTCAGGGATCGAATTAATTGCTCTACCAATTAAAAAATGCCCAGGTGTTAGAACCTCTAAATCATCAATGTCCGAAGACAAGGGTGTCAATGGTCGGGAATTTAAAATTCCTTCAATCTGAATCATAATTGTTAAAAATTGTTCAAATGTCAATTTTGCATTACCTACGACACGTTTGAAGTGGTACTTAAAAGATTTAACTCCAGCCTTCCCAAAGGCCTCCAAAATTAGGTGCTCTGGGAGGGAGAAATTTCCATTCGATATTCTCAGAACTCAAATAACCAGCTAAAAGCTCATCTTGTTCGTTCACTAGTTTGTTTATTTAACCTCTTTAATTCTGCATTTGCACCTACAAAATTCGTAGCGTTATCACTAAATAGTGTTAAACTTTTACCTCTTCGTGCAAAGAAACGTTTCAAGGTAGCTATTAATGCTTCAGATGTTAGATCAGTTATCAGCTCTAAATGAATGGCCTTAGTAACCATACAAATGAATATACATACATAAACGTTTTGATACATACCTTTTCTATGATTTTTTGTATTTAATTAAGAATGGGCCACAGAGGTCAACTCCAGTACAATTGAATGTAAGATTAGCTGTGATTCTTTCCTTGGGTAAATCACCCATGATTTGCTGAGCTACAATGGGATTAGCTTTAAAACATATTATACAATTTTTTACAATTTTTCTACAAACATTTCTACCACTTACAATCCAAAAATTTTGTCTTATATGATATAACAAAGATTGACGACCCACATGCAAATATTTTAAATGATAGTAATTAACTATTAACTCTGTTAATTTATGTTTAGAAGGCAGAATAATAGGAAATTTTTTCTCATAAGTTAAATTGCTATTTTTTAATCTACCTCCAACTCTCAACAGTCCATTACTGTCAATGTCAATGAAAGGGTTAAGACTTTTAATAGAACTATTTCTTGGAACAATACCTGATTTTTTAAGATCATTTATCTCATTTATAAAATACTCACCCTTACTAATTTTATTAAAGTTTCTTCAGCTGCTCTCAATTCTCCCACTTGTAAATTACCTACCTGTTTTTGTTCTTGCTTACAATTCTTGTAAAACCTAAAACAAAAACTTATAATACGAATTAATTTTAAATACTTATTACTGCAATTCAATAAAAAATTTTCACATTCAATTCAAACAAAATTTTTCACATTCAGATTTAAACTTGTAGATAGTTCAGAATCATCAAAGTTTTTAAGTTCATTACTGTCCTTTTCAGCAATTGCTTCAGGTATAACTCTTATAGGGTACTCATCCTTCATTAAGAAGTCAGGCCCGTTCCACCACAGTTGACTTAGTTGCAGTTTTTTGGCAGACATACCTCTAGATATGAGATCTGATGGGTTTTCTTCAGAAGCGATATGATGCCACTGTGCTATTTCAGTCAGATCCTGTATCTTTGAAATCCGGTTTGCAACAAATGTCTTGAGCAAGTGTGGCTCTTTGTTGATCCATGACAGCACAATCATAGAATCGGTCCAAAGGTGGATAGTAGTAAGCTCCAATTTTAACGATGATTTCACTCGATGCATTAGTTTAGCTAATAGCACTGCTGCGCAAAGCTCAAGTCTTGGGATTGTAGTCTTCTTTAGGGGGGAGACACGCGATTTACTGCACACCAACCTCACTGATGTATGGTTTGTTGCTGATGTTGCTTTACAGTAGATAACTGCTCCATAGGCGGCCTCTGAGGCATCACAGAAACCATGTAATTCAATCTTGATTCTATCCGGTAATAAAATACATCTAGGGACTTCAATGTTGTTAATTAGCTGCAAGGTAGTGGAGAATTCTTTCCATTCTTTAGCCTCCTTTTCTGGCAAAACATCATTCCAGTTCAATTTTAACAGCCATAATTTCTGCATAAATATTTTTGCTACAATTATAACTGGAGAAATTATACCCAATGGGTCAAAGATGCGAGATATGACGGATAACACTTGCCGTTTCGTAACCTTTACGTTGTCTTCGATTTTAACGTTGAAGCTCAAACAATCTCCTTTTGACTTCCATAAAATACCCTAATGCTTTAGATTCTTCTGATTTACCAAAGGGATATGTTTTTGTCGTTTGTTTGACACAGTTCAGTAGCATTACTACACCACTTATGGAGTAACATACCTCCACTCTTCAAAATGCCTATTACTATTAACTGATTTTGAAGTTCTAACGCAGAACTTAGCGACTCAGCTCCAGATAGAATATCGTCCATGTACATGTCTTCTCTCAGTACAGGTGCTGCTAAAGGAAATTTATCTCCTTCGTCCTTTGACAGCTGTACAAGTGTTCTCATTGCTAAAAATGGTGCACTCACAGTTCCATAGGTAACGGTGGTTAGCTCAAAGTTTTTTAACTGGCTTATCAATGCCTTCTTTCCATAAAATCCTTTGCAACTTCCATTGATCTGGATGGATAGAAATAGCTCGATACATCTTTTGTATATCAGCAGTGAAAGCAAAAATATATTTCCTGAATCTCAGCATAATTGAGAATAAATCATCTTGTATCACACCTCCATTATACTGTATAGAATTTAGAGAGTTTCCTTTGCTTGTCAAAGAAGAAGCGTTAAATACTACCCTCAAGGGAGTCGACTTACTTTTCTCTTCTCCCCTATATACTCCAATATGAGGAATGTAATATGAACCTCGTTCCTCCTCGCTTCACTCACTCACCTCAACCATATGTCCTAACTGTTGATATTCTTTTAAAAAATCTGAATATAATTTTAAATATTCGGGATTCTTTACTAAGCGTTTCCATAAGGAATTTAATTTACTCGTTGCAATTTGTTTAGAACTTCCTAAAGTGTCCGGATCCTCCTTTAATGGCATTTTAACAACGTACCTACCGGTTTTATCTCGTGTATAATTTTCTACGAAATGTTTCTCACAAATTAAAAATTCTTTGTTTTTGGGTTTATCAGTTTCAATATTTTCTTTCTAATTCCCAAAATTTTCTAAGAGTTTTATCTAAGTTGTCTTTTTCCTTTATCAACCCACAATGAACCCTGTTTCCAGTCTCTGTTGGAATACTTCCAGACACGATAAAACCAAAAACTGTATCTTGAAAAATAAGATCAGGATTATTCATTCGAATTTGACTCGGTTTCAAAAGTTCATAAAAAACTCCCGCTCCCAACAACATATCTACTCTTTCTGGAACATTAAATCCTTCATCTGCTAATTTTAAATTAGGAAGATCTTGCACTGAAATTTTAATTTTGCGCGAAGGTGTTAAATCAGCAGTTATTTTTGGAATTACTAAAAAGTCCAAATTCTTTATAAAAGTTCCTTCTTTATTGCATATCGAAGCATTAATTTTATGCTTTATTGTTAAAGTAGCATCATTTATTCCCGAAACGGAAATGTTTGTTTTTTCTTTCTCTAACTGCAAATGCTCAATAAAATTCTGTGTCAAAAAGTTCGACATACTGCCCCTGTCCAACAGACACTTCACTCTGTGTTTTTTCCCCTCGTTATCAATTAGAAAACATACGACTGTTGAAAGCAGAACTGTACTCTGTTTATTCGAATAATTGCTAATAAATGCCTTTTGAAAGAACTCCTACGCATTAACATTCAAGGTCGATGAGTCATCTCGTTTGGGAATGTTGCAGGCAGATACATTTGTTTTGTTTTTATTTTGTTCCGTTGAAGAACATTCTTTCTCCTTTACAATATTATTTACTTTCGGAAAGTGAATAGTTTTGTGGTGCCGTTTTTGACAAAAACAAGAATATTTCGATGGGCAATTTGATACTGAATGCATATGTAGACAGTTAAAACATAATTTATTAGATTTCACAACCTGTACTCTTTCTTGTACCGGTAATTTTAAATACGATGGGCATTTTGCCAATCCGTGATTCTCGTGGCATAAAATACAGTTCTCTGTTTTAACATCTGATAAAAACACTTTAGCTACACTTTTTGAGCTATTATACTTACGATTAACATGAGAATTCTCAGTAAGAGGTTTTCCTCGTGACGTGAAATATAAATCTATTTCTTTACCTAACTCACTAGGTGAAAACCATGAATCACCTTGCCTCACTGCAATGTGAGAAGCTGTTCCCGTATCTAAAGATTGGTATAACCTATCTGAAACTATTAGTTGTTTGAGGGTCTCGAAGTCAGTTACCTTCCTTAATTTTAAATAATAATCCCAGGCAGTTACTAAGCGAGAAGCAAACTGCACATGAGTTTCATGTGGTTGTTTAACAGTTTTTCTGAAGTTTTCTAAACACGAATATGGTGTTGGCTGAAACTCCTTCAGAACTACTTCTTTTACTTTTTCATAATTCGCGATATCCTTATCATGTAAATAGGTTATTATATTCGAAGCTTTGTCTCCTAACAGATTTAACAGAATTTCTGCTTTATAGTCCTCCGAAACATTTTTTGTAATAAACGCTCGTTCTAATGACGAAAAGAAAAATCCCCAACTCTCAGGCCGTATAGGAATTTTTACAGTTAAGGTTCTGATACTTTTTATTAATTGATCTAGTGACTCTGATTTTGTTTCGGTTTCGCTTACACCATCAAGTTTAGTTTTTCTGCTTTAAGCTTAGCCAACTCTAACTCATTCTTTGATCTCTCAAGTTTTATTTTTTCTAACTCGACAAGTTTTTGCTCTTTTTGCTCTTCCTGTTTTCTATTTTCGATAATAGAGTTTGCTATCTCTTTTACTAAATCTTGTTTAGTTTTGAAAATTTCACTATTCTCAATAATATCAGTCAAATCTGCTATAGTCATTTTTTCGTCAACATTTAGATTTATTTCTAAGGCAATAAGCCTTAAATCTTCTTTTTTAGCACCCTTAAATAACATTGTTATTTATAACAGAACAAGCACAGAAAGTACAGAATTAACAAGAGAGGAATCACTTACCTCTGCAGTGATTCACTTTTGATGAATATCCGTATCCCAAATCAGCGATATTCGTTGAAAAGAACAAGCTGGGAATACTGGCAAACACAAACACTCCTGTGTTCTCAAAAACGAAACATTATTCACGCACAATACTCACGCTCCGGTTGATTACGACCAGATATGTTTGGGTCTCGTCCCCAAATAACACACACTAAATAAATTCGCTGGTTCGATTCTTTATTAATTCTCATAATTAATTACAATTAACTCATAGCTGTGACCAGCCCTCTTACCGTCGATGGCGATTCTCAAACTCGTTAGATCATCACATTACAGATGCGCATGCGTGCATTACATTACAGATGCGCAGGCGCGAACAGTAATTTTACAGAATAGAATGAAATATAATTTTAGAAATAGAAATTTGGAATAGAATGAAATATAAGTGTATTAAAGATGATGAAAAATGTTGTATCTTACTTTTTGAGCTAGTGATTTCAAACCATTTCATTTTTATATTTTATGTAACTGTAATTTTACTTAAAATGCCTTTGCTAAATTTGTAATAGCAGCTTAATGTCAAGATTAATCTCTACTTCAACTATAGAACCTCCATTTCTTCATTTTCTAGTTTTTATGACATTTACTATGCTTACTTTTTTTTAGTTGTTCATATATCAAATCTTTACATAATTTTTTTAGTTTATCAATCTCAGTCATTCTTTTGCAAGTTTTAGCACAATTTTTTATAATGACGCATTTTAATTTCTAGGTATAAATACCTTAATCAATATCATGTCAAGGTTTGGTAGTCAGAAAGAAGCTATTTCTAGTATTAACCATAATGAAAGGCTAGAATTCCTTGGGGATGCTGTTGTTGAGTTTCTTTCCAGTATTCATTTGTTTTATATGTTTCCTGATCTAGAAGAAGGAGGTCTAGCAACATATCGAGCTGCAATTGTACAGAATCAGCATCTGGCTGTATTATCAAAAGTTAGTGAATTAAATTCTTATATTTTGTGAGAGCTATTTTTTCATGATGCAATGTGTTTGATACTTTTTGGTGCATAGATTGTACTAAATGTTAAATTTGGTGCAAAGTATAACAAGTGTTAGGAATATCAACTCTAAAAATAAATACAGCACTGTAAAAAGATTGATTATTTAAATAAATCTAAAATAAGCGGAGAAAAAAATTTAAAAATACAAAATGTATTTTACTATATGAATTCAAGGTCGCACAAGATGTACAAAGTTATTGATTTCATTTAACATGCTAAAAGCATTTGTGCCTCCTTATGCAGTTGCTAGCAAATGAATTTCAATTAAGTAGAAATTAAAAAGATAACAGATATCTGTTGCACAATTTTACACTTCAATATTGATGCTTTAAAAAAAAAATATTAAAGCAGCTGAAAATTTTAGAGAGAAAACTGTTGGATAAATGTTCATTTTTTCCATTTGTTGTTCACAATGGTATTATTGTATAGCTATGTATATTGTGAAATAAACAGGTTACCATAATTGAGCATACATGACTCGCATATGACTAATATCTCTTTAACCAAAAAAAGCTGTACTTTTTTTATTATTTTCATATATCTTTTTAGTATAATCACCAAAATATACAAGTATTGATTATATTTTTGTAAAATGTTTAATACTTTATTTTTCTGTTTTATTTCTTTTTCTCTCTCAATATATGCAGGGTGTCCAAAATTTTTTTGCAAATTTTTCTTTTCTTAATATCATCTTATATGTGTACTACTTCCAATTGCAGTGTTTCTTAAAAGATGATAATGAATTTTATATAAACATTTTCAATACTTTCATTTACAGTGTTTCTCAAAAGATAATAAATTTTATATAAACATTTTCAAGTGTAGGTAGGAGGCCTCTGTAAAAAAACCATAATGAAAGGTAAACCATTTTTGCTTCATACAGTTCTCAAAGAGCAAAAATTCCCATTATTGAAGTATTCCTTGTGCTATATAAAATTAATTTAAAAAATATGCCTTTACATGCACAGTTCTTAGAGATATTCAATAATAAATGTATTGATTTAAGTCATTTTTCAATCCCTGTTAAGGATGTAAATCACTTTAGAGCAAGTTAAAGAAGCAGTGTTTCTGCTTTGGTGGTATTAATAATTCCATCCTGGGTAAAATAGCATTTGTTATAAATTTATAAAAAATATTCTGAAGTAATTGAAAAGCATTTTATTTAGTATTATGCATATATATTGGGGAATTATTTCACATTTCTGAACTTCTTTAGGATTTAAATTCAAATTTCTTAAAATTGTTTAGAAAATTTTAAATTGGAATAGGGATTTGTTCAGAAATGCAAAATTGGTGAAATGTGATCATCATGAATAATCAGTGTTTATATGAAGAAATTCCCATACCCCTTGATAGGTTGGGATCTTTCTATGAAATCAACAAGCATTCTCTTATTTTCTTTTTTAATTAAGCATTGTAATTGTCACTTCCAGTTTTATTAATTACAAATTCCAGCTTTAATTTCGTATTAATACTCATTTTTACTATCTAAATTTCACTTTACATTTCCTAGATAGTTTTTCATTTAGATATTATCTATTAAATTAAATTTTTAATCTTTGCAGCGAAATTGCAGGATTTTACTTTTTAAGTCCTTAAATAAATTTTGAAATACATTAATTATAAAGTTTTTCTTGCTTGTATTTCTTTACAAAATTATGTGTGTATATATACAGGTGAAATTCCTTATTTGAAACGCGCACCATCTAGCGACATTTATTCCGAGAAAGGGGGGTGGCGCTCATTGAAAAGAGAGGTATTTAACATTTTATGTCATGTAGGCTTAGTACCGATCATGCAGTGGACAAGAGAGGAGCATGCGTTCGCTGTGGAGTTGTACTTTTCAATCCATATATTGGCAATCCATGTATCCATACATTGGCAATCCATGTATCCATACATTGGCATTTTCATCCATATAAGTAGACAGTGGTGCAAATATTAATCCATGCAATTTTCTTTCATGAAAAAGTGCATGCAGAGCCGTTCTTGACAATATGCCTCATGATGCCCTTGTGTTCTTTAGCGTTAAGGTTCATTTTCATCTTTCCAGTTGCAGCATGCATTAAGCAAAACATGCGATAATGGAGTGGCAGGAATCCCCGAGAATTTCATGAGCAGCCCCTCTTTTGAGGTCGCTGGTTAGACTGTATACTAAAGACAATTTTACAACAACAACAACAACCAATTTTATTTCGTGGACTGTATCATAACTAAAATCTAAATAGAAAATGATAAATTCCCGACCATACGGGATCAAAACATGTATGCTGTGCTAGGAGTTCAAATCTTAACTAACTGAAATTGCGCAGAAACAATGCGCTGTACATAACTTTTATTGCCGCGTAGGAGGCAACATACCACCCCACGTTGCAATATCTATGATATGCAAACTAAATCTAAGCATATAATTCAGTATCAAATGCTAACAATTCAGCTATTCATTTTTTTTAAAGCAATAATAAAGACTTAAAAGTTAGTAAATAATTTACAGAATGAAATAAACAATTCAGAAAATTCTATAAAGTTTGAACATTTGCAAATTTTTTCAATAATTATGGTAAGTATATCAGCATTTCAAACAGTAAAAAATATTGACATTTTTCATCAAAATTACCAAAATATAAGTATAATAAAGAACAATGTATATTTTATTAACAATGAAACTTAATCCTTGAAGTTATCCTCAATAGGCAATAAACAAATTTTTGATATTGGCCTTTTAATTGGACCAAACTTTGTGTTAATGACTGCTACTCATATCTTACCATCTTTACCAGGAATTGTCTGATCAATTCTTCCTAGTAACCATTTAAATGGAGGTAACTGATCATCTTTAATAATAACCATTGTATTTTTCTTTATATTGTCCTTTGAAAAAATACCCTTTCTTTCATTGTTGCAAGTGATTAAGATAGTCAGTTATCCATCGTTTCCATATAATCGGTATCATTTTAGTTAATTTTTGCCATCTTGACAATCTGCTTTCTGACAAGTCTAAAATTTGAGGTTCTACAATTGAGTTTATGGGTCTGCCTATTAAAAAGTGACCTGGCGTCAAGGGTTCGTAATCTGAAGGTTCAGACAATAAAGGAGAAAGAGGTCTCGAATTTAGTATTCCTTCAATTTGATCAATTACGGTTAAAAATTCTTCATATGGTTAGTTTTTGCATCGGAAAGTTCTTTTAAATTCTTTTAAGATGAAATTTGAAAAGATTTGATTCCGGCCTCCCAAATTCCACCAAAATTGGGGGCACGAGGAGGAATAAATTTCCAAGAGATATTTTCAGATGCCAAATACTTACCCAAAACTTCATCAGGGACAGTAACTAAAGAAGCAAGTTTCTTTAACTCTTTGTGAGCTCCTACAAAATTAGTTGCATTGTCACTAAACAGACATGAGCTTTTACCTCTATGCGAAAAAAAAATCGTTTTAAACATGCAATAAAGGCTTCAGATGTTAAGTCAAATACTATTTCTAAATGAAATGCCTTTGTAACTAAGCAAACAAAGATTGGTATATAAACTTTATGTAAACTACCTTTCCTTTGATTTCTATATTTGATTAGAAAAGGGCCTGCAAAAATCTATCCCTGTGTTATGAAAGGTTAGATTTGGATTTACACGTTCAGGAGGTAAATCGGCCATTAATTGATCTGAAATTCATTGATTGGCCATTAATTGATAGATTTATGACAAAAACAAATTAAGCATTCGTGAAGCTGTTTTTCTAGCTACGTCCTTGCCACCAATGGGCCAAAACCTTTCCCTAACAAAATGTATAACAATGCTTGAGGACCAGCATGAAAATTTTTCAAATGATAATGAATAAATATTAGCTTGGTAAGCTTATGATTTTTTGGCAATAAAATTTGATGTTTAGAATCATAATTAAGTTGTGGCATGAGTTAAGCGACCGCCCACACGTAATATATCTTTTTTTCCATCTAAAAATGGATTTAAAGTTTTTACCTGACTTTTGATTACTTTCTGATCTTGAAGTGATTTAATCTCCTCTGCAAATTCTATTACCTGAACCATTTTTATCAAGTGCATTTCCGCATCTTGAAATTCAGTACTACTAATGGGGCCTGTTTTCTTCACTGGACCTTTCAGATTGGACAGAAACCTGAAAATAAGACTTAAAATTCTAATTAGTTTTAACATAATTATTTGTTAATTCAAAAAAGGTATTCCAAACAAGTTTAAATTGCAGTTCAAATTAACATCTAAAGGTTTTTTAAGTTCATCCTGATAAGCAGGAGAATCTATGAGAGTCTTTTCAAGTTCAAATAAAGAGGCATCACTAAGTTCGTTCTGTTCAGGACCATTCCACCACAAGGAAGATGTCACAAGTTCATGAGGATAAGCACCACAAGAAATCAGATCTGCCGGATTATTTGCTGATGATACGAGCTTCCAGTGTCGCGGCTCTACTAGTATTTGAATTTTGGAGACTCTATTTGCAGCAAAGGTCTTCAAAAGATGAGGATAAGTCTTCAACCATGACAGTGCTATCGTTGAATCAGTGCACAGAATGATGTCATCTAAATGCATCTTCAATGAGTTGCTAACTTTCGAAATCAGATGATGAGCCAATAACAAACATGCACAAAGTTCCAATCTGGGAATAGATAAAGTTTTCAATGGAGCCACACGAGATTTGCTGGCTAGTAGATGAGATGACGAGCCGTGATCTTCATCGACACAAATCAAGTAGACAACTGCACCATAAGCGGCTTCCGAAGCATCTGCATATCCAATGAGTGAAATCTTGCTTGGATGATTGGAGAGGATGCAACGATTAATTTTGATGTTTTCAACAGCCTTTAAATTTGAAACTATCTGTTGTCCATTCGTGAGCAATAGTTGCAAAAAGTGGTTCATCCCAACTCAGTTTTTGAACCCATAATTTCTGTAAAAATATCTTGG